TCAAGGGCGGCTCACGGACAAGAGATTTTGCGGGCTCCTGAGGGAGGAAGAGCAGGGTTCTGATGGGGGAAATGGAGGGTTGTCCCAGGATTTGGAGGTCTGTTTGTGGGGGACAGAGAAACTGCCTTGTATGGCTTCAGGCTCCAGAGTCGGGGTGACTCCTGGGGCTGGCGAGGAGTTTAGCCTGTAGCTTGCAGGCTGTGAGAAGGACAGATTATGGAATTTCTCCTCCCTAGGAAAAGAGAGTTGGTAAAATGTGATAGTTAGGCTGCTGAGACTTTCACAGGCCTGGCTGTGGGGGCAGCAGGCCCCCCTGGAACTGTAGCATTTTCTTCAAATTTCTAACTGGGATCTTGGACACCATGGATGTGGAGTCATGGGTCCACCCTTCCCCCTGAGGGTTACAACCAGGAGGGCAGCTTGGGGAATCCAGCTTTCTGCACGGGACCAACTTACCAGTCTGTGTGCAGAGAGAGGCTCTGGGATTGTCTGCTCACCTTGGAGATGGCATTTTCTCTTTGCTTCTTGATCCTATAGAAGGGCCACAGTCCCTCCCACCTCGGTCAGGCCCAAGTGTTTATTCAACAACTGTTGGTGAGATTCCTGCATCTGCCAGATCTGGGCTCGGTGCTCACTGGGATACCTTGGGGAGCAAGACAGATAGCCAGCCTTCTTAGAGTTTATAATTCAGTCTAGAGCAAAGGTTCTCAGAGTGTGGTCCCCGGACCACCAGCAGCAGCATTACCTGGGAACTAGTTAGAAATGCAGATTCTCCGGCCATACCCCAGATCCCTTGAATCGTTTAACAGCTTCTCAGGTGATTCTAACACATCCTGAAGTTGGAACCGCTGATCTGCAGCATGGGTTCTGCACTGAGGGCAATTTCCCTCCCAGGGAACATTCGGCCATATCTGGAGATATGTTTGGTTGTCACACGGGGCGTGGTGGGGTGGGGGTGGGGGTAGGGGAGGAGGTGGAGCTGGTATTACTGGGTAGAGGCCAGGGATGCTGTTAAACACCCTACAATGCACAGGACAGGCCTCATAACAAAGAACTACCTGGTCCAAAATGTCAGTTGTGCTGAGGTTGAGAAGCCCTGCCCTAGAGCAGTTACAGTAGAGGGCAGCGAGGGCAGTGGTCCTTTTCTCCCTTTGTTCCAGATGTGTTGCTCCCTGGCCACATGACCTGGGGTGAGTCACGGCCACCCCGGCCTCAGTTTCCCCAGCTATGAAGTGAGGGGGGTGAACTCACGTTGCTGAGTTCCTCTTTAGCTTGGAGGTTCAGTGGTTCCAACCTAGCAACTGGCCGACCCAGGGAGGTTGGGCTGATGCAGCCCTACTCTTCGTCTCAGGTGCCAACTGGCCTAGAGAGGCCTTGGGGGAGGGGAGGCAGGTAAGGGCTGTGTCATCTGCCTAGTGCTACCGCCTCCGCAACCCAGGCTGCGGCAGCCAGAGTCCAGCTGGCCTTGGGTTTCCCGGTGAACGGTGCTTCTCCCCACTGGGGGAGATGGGGAGTCCAACCCCAAGGAGCCCGCCCTGGGGAGGAGAGTCACCAGCTGGCTCCACGCCCCGGCCTGCACTGTGCAGGGAGCTGGGCAGGCAGAGCGGCGCCTTCCCTCCTGAGCCTCAAACTTCAACTTTCCTCATACTCAAAGTAAACCAGCAGTCCTAGCCAAGGAAGGCCGGAGGCCTGAGGGCAGCCGCGGCACCCGGGTAGCCGTCCCGCCGGCGCCTGGCACGCCCAGACAATTCACGCCCCGGGGGTGGGCGTCTCGGCTCTCCCTCCCTACCAGGGAGCGTGGGGGCGGAGTTAAACCTAAGGACGCAGGGGGCCCCTGAACTCTGATTGGTCGGACTCTGAGGCCCCGCCTCTTCTCGGAGCTCGCTGACCTCCTTCTTCATGGACCCCCAGCTCCTGTGCACCAGCAAGGGGAAGGTCTTGTTTATTATTTAATTTTTCGGAAAAAAAGTGTGCAGGCCTGAGAGACCCACTCGGGTAGACGGCCGCGGCCCACGTGCAGTCGTGGCTCCTGTGCTCTGAGGGTCCCGAAGAGCAGGTATGAAGGCTTGAGGCTGAAAACATGCTGAAGGGAGACAAGATGGGATGGGGGCGGGGTTGGCAGGAGCAACATGCCCAATGACAGACAGGGAATGAATGCTTTGGCTACAAATTCTAATCCTCACAAGTGCGATGCGATTTGGGGCAAGTCCCTTGCCTGCTCTGACTCTTACGTTAAGTGAAAACGAAAGTCAAGTTCAATGAATTTTGACTCCTTAGTGGGTGGATTTGTATGGGCCATGGTTTATCACATCCCTGGAAAACCCACCTGCAGACAGCCAATACCTGTTACACCTGGCTAACCTAGAGCGCCTTACTTCGTGTGCGTTAGTACCCGCTATTAAATAAAGGGCGGTTAATAGGTGGCAGATTAACACACTGCAGTAAAGCTCGCTTTGTAATCCGAGATCAGTGGCTCTAAAGCGCCCTCCTTGAACCAAGGACTAATATTCTTATTATCTTAATTAGGATGCAAGTGAAAGGGCTTTAAACTTTCTCCTTGAATCTGTTATGTTGCCCTGGGCTGTGGCCCATCATGGTGACCCTTGTCCTGGTTCCCTGAATTTAGATGCAGTGCTTGAACACTGATCATTTCAACATTCTGTTTCGTGGTTCTGTTTGCTGTCGAAGTCCGGGGACATAACTACGCTGCACACACATCAGATCTGCTAAGTTGGTAGGACCTAGTAATTGTTAAAAGGCAGTGGGGGGGGGGGGGGGGCTTCCCTGGTGGCGCAGTGGTTAAGAATCTGCCTGCCAATGCAGGGAACACGGGTTCGATCCCTGGTCCGGGAAGATCCCACATGCCGCGGAGCAACTAAGCCCGTGTGCTACAACTACTGAGCCTGTGCTCTAGAGCCCGTGAGCCACAACTACTGAAGCCCGCACGCCTAGAGCCCGTGCTCCGCATCAAGAGAAGCCACCTCAATGAGAAGCCCACGCACCGCAACAAAGTGTAGCCCCCGCTCACTGCAACTAGATAAAGCCCACGCGCAGCAACGAAGATCCAATGCAGCCCAAAAAAACCCTAAAAAAACAAATAAATTAAAAATTAAAAAAAGGCAGTGGGGAGTGAGGGTGGCGCCTGCAGCCGCCCCACCTCTCCTGCAGGCCCCTAACTCCACAGCTTTGCTTCCCTGGCTGCTTCCTAAGGAGCTGATCAAAGGGTGAGAACTCAGAGCTCATGTGGACAAGTGAAAGCACTGGGATAATTCTATGCAGAAAAGGGAAAGTTGGGCATTTATATCCCAGCAGCAAGTGACAACTGTGCTCTTGGCCTCTCTGTGCTTGACAACATCCTGCAAAATTTATCTTATTTGCTTCTACCGTGTATGCTGATTTCACAGATATTGGCGAAGTGCCTTTCTGGGCAGGCATTGTGCTGGGCACTGGGGTCAGGGCAGGGACCAGGATAGACACAGGCCTTGCCTTCACGGCTCCAGACTATTGTGTCGTGACCCTCCCACTGGGTGAACTGTGTCCATCTGCTCCTGCTGCTGGGGGCAGCTGTGCTGTCTGCCTTCTGGCTTTTCCCACATGCTCCCCAGTGCCCCACAATCCCTAAGCCTAGTCCTGCCTTCGAATACCACAGAGACTAGCAGCTGGCTTTTCTCCCTGTTCTCAAAGGGTAGGATTTCCTGGGAGGGACAGAGCGTCTCTCTGTGGGAGGCGGGAGAAGCCTGTGCATGTTTTCTTTTCTTGGCAGGAGCAAACCTCAGAGCCTCAGCAAGCCCCCAGCAGAGTCCTGTGGCAGATAGAGGGCACCCTAGGGTGGGTTTGCTAGCAGCGTCCTCCTCCTGCCCCAGTTTTCCAAGGGAGAGTCCGGATGGGCCTGGGAAGTGGGTCTGCTGAGGCCTCACCTGAGATCCATGCTTTCTCCTCCGGTGGGGTCCTGACTGCCCTGCATCCAGCAGACCCTCTGCTGGCTCAGGCCCGAGGACGGTGCCCGTATTCACGCACATTTCTCTGAATGTGAACCTTCGGGGGGTTACTTCCCCTGGGAATGTGCAAGATGAGGAGCTAGATAATAATGCTGGGCCAGTGTCAGCCTGGTATTGGTTTGCAGGAACTAAGTTCTTTCTTCCCCTTCTGAGAAAGAAGCAGGGGAATCAGACTAATGAGGGTTAAAAGAGCTGAGCTGATATGAAATGTAATAGGCAAGTCTGTAGAGGCAGAAGGTAGATTAGTGGTTGCTTGGGGCCTTGGGTGGTATGAGGGACAAAGCAGGGTGATAGCTGAAGGGTACAGCGTTCCTCTTTGTGGTGGTGAAAATGTTCTAAAATTGTGGTCATGGTTGCACATATCTGTGAATATACTAAAAACCACCGGGTTGTACACCTTAAACAAGTGAATTACATGGTATATGAATTATATCTCAATAAAGCTGTTGACAACCAACTGAGATATGTAGCCACGTTTGGGCCACTGAACACTCCCCCACCCCGAATGAACTTAACTTCCCAGCTCTTCACACCTCCCCTCTTACCCCTATGGGTACCCTGAGGACAGACCCCCCCTCAGAGAGAGACAGCAAGGGGCAAGCATGGCTCTATCTCCTCTCCTGAGCCCACCACTCAGAGAAGTCCCTGCGCCTCCCGTTGGGGAGGGTGTCACGAGGGTGGAGAGAAGCTTCTCTGAAGCGTCTGGAGCCAGAGGCCCCTCAGAGAACCATGAGACCTCAGAAATGCAGGCCCACCACCCAGGGCTGTGCGGAAGCCAACACAGCTTCATCTTTTCCAAATTTGACTCATGAATTTCATAGCTCAGTAGGATTATGGGTGATTTTTGTGTCTTTTTCTGTTGTTTTCCAATTTTTCCATACTATGCTTATAATATTATTTTTTTCAGGTCAAAAGTACCTAAAGTCGAGGGTTGGGTGGGAAAGAAGTCGGGGATCTGGCGTTTCCGGCCAGAGGTCAAGGTGGATTCTATCCCCCTTGCAGGAGTCATGTGGCTGGAAATACTCCTCGCCTCAGTGCTGGGCTTTGTCATCTACTGGTTCGTCTCCAAGGACAAGGAGGAAACTTTGCCACTTGAAGATGGATGGTGGGGGCCCGGGGTGAGGCCCACAGCTGGGGAGGACGAGAGCATCCGCCCATTCAAGGTGGAAACGTCAGATGAGGAGATCAATGTAAGGCACCTCTTTCCAGAGGAGGGAGTAGTGGGGAGGGCGGGGAGGTCCCTTCTGGGGCTGCGCCTCAGGCTGGGGCTGGGATGGGGAGGGTCTTGGGAAGTGCTCCTCTGCGGTGGCGGGGGGGTGTTTTTTCACCTACTCTTCTCCCACTGGGCTCTCCCGCTCTGCCAACCCATCCCTTCTGCTCCTTCCCTCCCCTGTTTCCGCCTTCCCCTTCCCAAGGCCCCAGCAGTACCCAGGCCGGCAAGTGGGTGCCTGCCGGACCCAAGGGTCACAGCAAGCAGCTGGTTTTGCCTCCTTGGTGCCCCACCTGAAACCCTGGGAGTGAGCTTGTCGGCTCAGGGCCTGGGTGGAGATCATGAGTGAAAAGCAAGGCCGTGGTGACATAAATGCTGCTGCACAGAGAACCTGGCACAGAGCCAGCCGTGGCCAGGCACCTACTGTGTGTCAGCCCCCTTGTAGTCACGTGCAGTCCCTGCGGTCATGCAGAAAGTGAAGCTCAGAGAGGCAAAGCAACTGACCCAAGGCGACCGAGTTAATAAGCAGAGGGTTTAAACTCAGATCTGTCTAACTCCAAAGCCTAGGCCCGTCCTCTGCACGGGGCTGGAATCAGGATGGATGGACATGATCGTGGGGTGGGCTGATCTGAGAGCGAGGCTTGAGCAGGGCCAGGAGGGTGGGTGGGACCTGCGATGTCCCTACTCATCCTTTTTTCATTTTGTGGGTGTGGGAGCACCTACTGTGTGCAGGCCCTGTGCTGGGTGCTTAGAAGAAGAGGGAGAGCCTTCCCTCAAAGAGCTCCTAGTCCAGCAGTTGAGAAATGTGGACAGAGAAACGTTAATGATTAATAGAGATAAATGCGGTAAGAGGTGCCGAAAAAAGTCATGGGAGCGCTCAGGAGGATGGGATTAAAGAGCGGAGACAGCTGTACCCAAGAGAAGCCAGACTGAGGCTCCCTTGGTAGCACTTGACGAGGTGTCGCTATTGAGGACAGAGGCTGAGCCCTGTCGATACCTCCTTTAGTGGGTTCCTAGGCTCAGCGTCTGACATTCCTAAAATCTGTGTGGAGGTTACTGCAGTGCTTGGGAGGACACTCTGGGAAGGGTAACACTTGAGAGGCTCCGTGGACCAACTTGAACTTCCCCAGCTGGAGCTGCTCTTTCAGCTTGATGCACGCCTGCCCGTGAGACTTGTACCTTCTCTCCGGGTCTGTCATTTTTATCCTAACTGAGTTAGGATATACTGTATCGTTCAGTGCTGTGTATCAGAGTCAGCAAATCCATCCTGCCACCTGTTTTTTTTTTTTAATTAATTAATTTATTTATTTATTTTTGGCTGTGTTGGGTCTTCGTTTCTGTGCGAGGGCTTTCTCTAGTTGTGGCAAGCGGGGGCCACTCTTCATCGCGGTGCACGGGCCTCTTACTATCGCGGCCTCTCTTGTTGCGGAGCACAGGCTCCAGATGCACAGGCTCAGTAGCTGTGGCTCACGGGCCCAGTTGCTCCCTGGCATGTGGGATCCTCCCAGACCAGGGCTCGAACCCGTGTCCCCTGCATTAGCAGGCAGATTCTCAACCACTGTGCCACCAGGGAATCCCCACCTGTTTTTTTTTTTTTAATTTAATTTTTATTTTATATCGGAGTATAGTTGATTTACAAGGTTGTGTTAGTTTCAGGTGTACAGCAAAGTGATTCAGCTATACATAGACATATATCCTTTTTTTTTTTTCAGATTTTTTTCCCATATAGGTTATTGCAGAATATTGAGTAGAGTTCCCTGTGCTATACAGTAGATCCTTGTTGATTATCTGTTTTATATGTAGTCTGCCACCTGCTTTTGTACAGCTCCCATGCTAAGAATAGTTTTTACATCTTTAAATGGTTGGAAAAAAATCAAAAGAAGAATAATACTTTGCGACATGTGGAAATTACGTGACATCGAATTTCAGTGTCCATAAATAAAGTTTTTTTGGAACACAGCCATGCCCATTTGTCCGTGTACCATCCACGGCTGTCTCCACACTACAAGGGCAGAGTGGAGTAGCTGCAGCTCAGAAAGCCTAAGATATTTATGATCTGGCCCTTTACAGAAAAGTTTGCCAACCCTTGCTGTATATAAGCCTCGATAAATTAAAAATCTGTATTGTTCATACATTTAAAAACTGAAAGATGAGAAGTCAACCTGAAGTCGAAAGTGAAGAACATATGTTTGGGGAACAGCCACCGCTGTGGGAAGCCAGGAGGTTTCTTCTGGGATAAACCTAACAACCCAGAGCACAAGTGTGCAGACCAGGAGTCTCCTCACCTTGTCTGGTGAAACTTTGCTTTGCCTCTGCTATACATATTATATATAATATATATTAATGTAATTATAATATATAATACATATTATATACCATATATTATCATATATATTAACTATATTAATATATAATACATATAATATCTAGGATATAATAATATAAAATATATTATATATAATATAATATATAAATTATAAATATATAAATAAAATATAATAATATAAAATGTATATTATACATTTTATGTAATATAATAATGTTATAAAATATATAATATTGGGGTCTTGTGGCTGCAGGGTTTGGAACTGTCTTCTGGAAACAAACTTTCTCTTGTGCTCTGCCTCATTCACCTTCTCTACTTGGGGTCCTGCATTTTGCTCCAGGATTTACACCAGAGGATTGACAAGGTCCGTTTAAGCCCACCTTTGGAGGACAGCCGCTTCCACTACGGTTTCAACTCCAACTATCTGAAGAAAGTCATCTCCTACTGGCGGAATGAATTTGACTGGAGGAAGCAGGTGGAGAGTCTTAACAGATATCCTCACTTCAAGACTAAGATTGAAGGTATGTTTCCAGAACACCAGCTGGAGGGGGATGTATATCACAGGAACGGCCTTCTTAGGTACTGGACGTGACTTAGGGACTTCCCTGGTGGTCCAGTGGTTAAGACTCTGCGCTTCCACCGCAGGGGCATGGGTTCCATCCGTAGTCAGGGAACTAAGATCCCGCATGCCTCCCAGTGCGGCAGAAAAAAAAAGAACCACCTTCCTTAGATACTGGACATGACTTAGATAAAGCCCGGAGACCCAGAATTCAATTATTGGTCACTGAGATGTATTTGGAAGGTATAACGCCACGAGGATGCAAAAATAATGCAGAACCCCAACAAATCCAATGGTCTTTAGAGCTAAACAGGAAAACATATAAATAAAATAAAAACCAAAGAAATGCACAGTCCACTTCAGTGATAGAACAGTCTCTGCGAGGATGGAGATAAGATTTAGATCTGGGCATGGCCTCGGTCAGTCAGCCCCTCCTTAAAGCTTTGGAGTCCATGATGCTGTGACTGTTCAAGGGTGCTCAGCCTGTCAGTCAAGGTCCGAATAAAAACTGTCCTGTCTCTGCAGCTCTAGATCTCCCGTCCCAACAGTATCACAGGTTGTCACCCAACTTCATCTGGAAGGGAAGGTATCTCTCAAAATGTTCTTGGGAAAGTAACCTAAGATCATTTGGGATGAGATAATAGTTTCCTAAGTGGAAAAACATTTTTTTAGCCCCAGAAAGATTTAGAATCAAATATAGAAATGCTTAAGAAAATCAAACTCATGCTGTTAATTTTTACAAATTTATCTGTTTTTAATTATAGTAAAATACACATAACATAAAGTTGACCATTTAAACCATTAAGTGTACATTGTTATGTGTAACGCCACAGTGGAGTAAGTACTTTTATATTGTTATCCAGCCAGCACAGCCATCTATCTTCAGAACTTTTTTTATTTTGCAAAACTGAAACTCTGGGGACTTCCCTGGTGGCACAGTGGTTAAGAATCCGCCTGCCAGTGCAGGGGACTCGGGTTCGAGCCCTGGTCCGGGAAGATCCCACATGCCGCGGAGCAACTAAGCCCGGGTGCCACAACTACTGAGCCTGCGCTCTAGAGCCCGGGAGCCACAACTACTGAGCCTGCGTGCCACAACTACTGAAGCCCGCGTGCCTAGAGCCTGTGCTCCGCAGCAAGAGAAGCCTCTGCAGTGAGAAGCCTGTGCACCGCAACGAAGAGTAGCCCTCGTTCGCCGCAACTAGAGAAAGCCCGAGCACAGCAATGATGGCCCAACGCAGCCAAAAGTAAATAAATAAATAATAAATAAATAAATAAACTGAAACTCTGTACTCATTAAGCAATAATTCCTCATTCCCTCCCTCTCCCTAGCCTCTGGAAACCACCATTCTGCTTTCTGTCTCTGAATTTAAATATGATTCTGAATCTAAGTATCTCATATGAATGAAATCATACAGTATTTGTCCTTTTGACTTGCTTATTGCACTTAGCATAATGTCCTCAAGGTTCATCCATGTTGTAACATGTGTCAGAATTTCCTTTCTAAGGCTGAATAATACCCCATGGTATAGATTTTGCTTATCCATTCACTTGGGTTGCTTCTGCCTTTTAGCTATTGTGAAAAATATTGCTATGATTATGAGTGTACAAATATCTGTTTATGTTTCTGCTTTCTGTTCTTTGGGTGTATACCCAGAAGTGAAATTGCTGAGTCAAATAGTAATTCTATGCTGATTTTGGGGGGGAACTTTAATACTGTTTTTCCTAGCAGTTGCACCATTTTAAATTCATCTTCTTAAAAAATGTTCAGAGAGGTTGTATTTACCTTCCCAAGGCTGAAAAGTGTGGGAATTGCCCCATTTCCTAATTTTCCACCAGAGGAATATGTGAGTAGAAAAGTCCTAACTGCTTACATATATTGTGTGTGAGTATGTATAAAACTGCGTGTGAAAGAGCTGCATACTGATTTTCATATGAGAATGTTTTGTAATGTAAATGTAATAAATACTACATTATAGGCAAGGACCTCCCTGCATTTGAAGAGTAGGTTTTCATTTATATGTATTTGGGGATGAAAAATAATAAAATGAGTAAATATTTTTTGAAGTGTACAAGATTCCCAGTTTCTCCATATTCTTGCCAATACTTGTTATTTTCTGTTTTTGTTTTTGCAACAGCCATCCTAACGGGTGTGAAGTGGTAGTATCTCATTGTGGGTTTGATTTACATTTCTCTAATGATTAATGACGTTGAGCACGTTTTCATGTGCTTGTTGGCCATTTGTTTTTCTTCTTTGGAGAAATGTCTACTCAAGTCCTTTGTTCATTTTTGAATCGAGTTCTTTGTTTTTTGTTGTTGTTGTTGAGTTTTAGGAGTTCTCTATATAGTCTGGATATTAATCCCCTATGAGATAATGTGATTTGAAAATATTTTCTCCCATTCTGTGGGTCGCTCTACCAATAATTTTTTATGTTGAAGAAATTGCACGTGTTTGGAATTTTAGATATTTGTAATGTTTAAGAGAATTTGGCCTTTGTAAGTAACAGATACGACTTTTCAGTACTAATTTAAAGTGGGTAATTGAGTCATGGATTTAGACCTGTGATTTTATATGAAAATCTTCCTGAGTTTATGTGCAATATTGGAAGATTTAAGCCTCACCATATTTATAAATTTAATTTATTAAAATTCTGAGAGTTACTTAAAGTTTGTGGAAGATATACTGGTTAGTCAAATCAAGTAAAGTTCTTATAAAGGAAATTGAAATTATACAGTGTTTAAGGGAGTGTCATAAAGCAGGTATAGACATGCAGCCCCATTAATCAAAGGTTCCTGGGGAATGCCTGTCAACATTTGCTAGATTAAGAAATATATAGAATAATATCTGTAAGTTGAACTCACATGCTTAATGAAGAGCTTTAAATTTGAAATTTGTAACTTCAGAAAGTTGAAGGATAATTTTTAAATCTGTAACTTCAATAAGTAGGAGAATACTTCTAAATATAAACCAGTTGTAGCTGTGCACTTTAGAGGACTTTGATGCCTTCTGTCATGAGCCTAACAAGAGGATCTAAACCATTTTATCTAAGCCAAAGTACCTACAGGTCCTTCTATGTAATTTACGAAGGTTGCCTTTTGTTTTTTGTGGGGTTTTTTTTGGTACGCGGGCCTCTCACTGTTGTGGCCTCTCCGTTGTGGAGCACAGGCTCCGGACGCGCAGGCTCAGCGGCCATGGCTCCCGGGCCCAACCGCTCCGCGGCATGTGGGATCTTCCCGGACCGGGGCACGAACCCGTGTCCCCTGCATCGGCAGGCGGACTCTCAACCACTGCGCCACCAGGGAAGCCCTGAGGGTTGCCTTTTGGATCCCTGGTGCCAGAGGCCTGGCTCCCTTGGGTTTGACTCAGCTCCTTCTGTTACCCCAGCTCTTCAGTGTCCATCCGGCAGCTATTGACAGGGCACCTCCTGTGCCCAAGCATTCTGCTTGTGACACACAGTCAGAGAAGACAAGGTCCCTGCCTTCCCAGCTTACAGGCTCTCGGGGGTGATTATACCATGTGGTAAGGGGTGCTATGAGGGAAGAGGCTCCGGGAACTTTGTGAGCCCCACATGCCACCTGGGAGTGTAAGGGAAGGCTTCCTGGAAGAGGAGGCATCCAGGCTGAATCTTAAAGGATGGATGGGAGTTTGCCAGGTGTGTATGGGGAAGGTTGTCCAGAGGAGGGAACAGCATGTTCCAAAACCCAGAGGCAAGAGGCATTAAAGGGCTGTTTCCTTCCTGGAGGCTTGCAAGCTTGAGAAAGCTTTACCCCACTGGACCGTCTCAGGGCTCCTCACGACATCACAGGATATCAAGTGTTTATAGCACAAAACCTTCTCAGGGTACAAGTGCTCCAAAGGGGGTAGTTTCTTGCGTGGAGTTTATCACGGAAGCAGCCCACTGTGACTGAACCCGTGTGCAGTTCAGTCACTTCCCTAGGCCTGCAGCTTGGCCTTGGCCCTGGGCCCTGCAGTGTGGGTCCTCCTGCTGGACCCGGCTTCACGTGCCATCTGCCCCCGCCCCTCCTGCCACAGTGCTGAGCTGGCCACCTCCCAGCCCTGGGCCCAGCACGCCTTCAACGTGTCTCTTTTCCTGGCTCCCCAGCCCAAGGAAAAGCCTTCTTGGCCCAAGAAGGCTCCCTCGTCACTCTCTCTGCTGCTATCCTCCTCCCTCACTTTTGAACCTTTTTGGGGTCCTTTCTGTCTCTGCACTGACCCCTGTGCTCCAGGCTGCTCAAGGCTCAACCTCTGACCCCTCCCCGATGTTCTGTCCTCATCTCCACTAGCCTCCTTATTCGGCCTCCCTGTTCCTGCCACTTCCTTGTTCTGTGATGAGCTTCTGGCTCCAGCCCATGTCCTGGGCCTCCTGCCACAGACCAGTCTCTGTTCTCAGAGAGTCTGAGACATTCAGGGGCTTCAGAGACCTCCGGGGAATGCAGCCCATCACCTCCAGACGGGAGGGGGGAATCGCCCGAGTCGCAGGGAAGTGGAGGTTCAGGGCCAGAACCCAGCTCTCCAGCCTCCCAGCCTGTCTGTTCTTCCTTCACCTGTGGCCACGGTTTCAGCTCGGGCCCTAGGCTGTGACCACCGCCTCCCCTCACCCCCTGGCCAGGCCCAGTGCTACCCTCTGAGCCCAGTTTGGCTTCTCGATTCTGACCCAGCAGCTTGGGCACAGAGAACCTACCGGTACCACGTAAGGCAACCGAGAGAGTGTTTCCTCCCCAAAGGGAAGGGGGGCCCATAGGGCATATTTTAACATTTTTTTTAATTTTAAAAATTTATGTATTTAAAATTCAAAAAGTACAGAAGGAGACAGAGCTAAAAGGAAGTCTCCCTCTTGTCCCTCCCCAGGGACAGGGTCTGCTTCCGTTAAACACATGCTTCCGGGGGTTTCCCTGGTGGCGCAGTGGTTAAGCATCCGCCTGCCGCTGCAGGGGACACAGGTTCAAGCCCTGGTCAGGGAAGATCCCACGTGCCACGGAGCAACTAAGCCCGTGCACCACAACTACCGAGCCTGTGCTCTAGAGCCCGCGAGCCACAACTACTGAGCCCACGTGCCACAACTACTGAATCCCGCACGCCTAGAGCCCATGCTCCGCAACAAGAGAAGCCACCGCAATGAAGAGTAGCCCCCGCTCACCGTGACTAGAGAAAGCCTGTGTGCAGCAACGAAGACCCAATGCAGCCAAAAATAAATAAATAAATAATGAATGAATAAATAAATAAATTTATTAAACAAAAACATATGCTTCCAGGGATAGCCCATGCATACACAAGAATGGATGTATATGTGTGTTTTTTCTAACTTTAAACTCAAATGATAATGTGATTGATAGAATTCGAATCAAAAATAATCTCACATCATGCTCTGTGTTCCAAAGGAGATAAAATTACCTACTAAAATAAACTTTAGGAGTAAATTTAGCAGCATAGAAGGACACCCAGGATATATTGTTAAGTGAAAAAAATGAGGTTCCAAAATAGAATGTATGTAGGGTTCTATTTTTGTTAAAAGAAAGTTATGTTCTCTCTTTTTAAAAAAGTCTTAACTGTCTGAATGGCCAAAGAGGAGCCTAAGGAGACATGACAGATAAATGTAATGTGTCCTGGATGGGATCCTGGAACAGAAAAAGGACATTGGGTAAAAACTAAGGAAATCTGAGTAATATTCCATTGTTTGTATGTACCAATATTATTCAGCCTTTAAAAAGAAGGAAATCCTGCAATATGTGACAACATGGATGAACTTTGAGAACATTATGCTCAGTGCTTTAAGCCAATCACCGAAGGACAAATACTGCCTGATTCCACTCATATGAGGTATCTAAAATTGTCAAAGAGAGTAGAATGGTGGTTGCCAGGGGCTGGGAGGTGGGCGAACTGGAGAGTTGCTAATTACTGGGTACGAAGTTTCAGTTACAGGAGATAAGTAAGTTCTAAGGATCCGCTGAAGGACGTTGCGCCTGTAGATAATGATACTGTTCTATATATACACTTAAAACTTTGCGAAAAAACAAACAAACAAAAAAAACCAAAAAAACTTTGTGAAGACAGTAGGTCTCATGTTAGATGTTCTTACCACCATAAAATTAAAAAAATTAAAACTTAAAAATAAATAAGGAAATCTGCGTACTTAAAGTATGGACTTTAGTTATTAATGTATCAGTACTGGTTCATGCATTGTAACAAATGTACCATCCTAACATGAGATATTAATAGTAGGGGAAATTGAGTAGTGGTATATGGGAACTTCCTGTACTAGCTTCACTATTTTTCTATAAATATAAAATTGTTCCCCAAAAAAATTTGTTGTAAAAAGTTGGACAGACAACACAATGTTCTCTTCAGATCATGGGGTTACAATGTGATTTTCCCCCCTTTTGATTTACCTTTGTTTCCTGTTTTCTATAGAAAACATGTATTGTTTGTATAATGAATAAACAACAGACCTTGCTATCGGTGCCAGCCCTCATGGTGGAGGGTTCCAGGTGTGCCAGCAGCCCTGGCTGTGTTTGCCTTGGACACCCAGGCACAATCCAGGCCACTTGCCTGGGAAGGGGCTGCTATCAAAGGGACTCTAGTGGGGCCTGGAATCCACTCACCTGTCCTTGGCCAGGATGGTGTTCCAGTGCCCAGCACTCTACCTTAGAAAAATTTTCTCCACTTAAAAAAAAAATAGTTATGCATATGTCCATTGTAGAAAAATTTAGTAGTTCCTATAACACAAAAAAGACAATAATTTACTTGAAATTCTATTGCTCAGAGAGGACTACTTCTTATATTCTTGTAGTTTATCTCTTCAGACTTTAAAATTCCTATGCACACGGTGCAAACATATGCATACATGTGACTGTTTATGAAAATTGGTCATACGATGGATATGGCTTGGTAGTGTGCTTTTACCACTTAGCCGTGTATACGGAACTGATTTCCATATTCAATACACGTCGACACTATCATTTTATTTTATTTATTTACTTTTTGGCTGCACCGCCCGGCATGTGGAATCTTAGTTCCCCGACCAGGGATTGAACTTGTGCCCCCTGCAGTGGAAGTGCAGAGTCCTAAGCACTGGACCGCCCGGGGAGTCCTGACCGCCAGGGAAGTCATTTTAGATGACTGTGTTATATTACAGTATACTGTTAAACTATAATCTATTTCATTCTCTACTGCTGGATATATAGGGCTTTTTCCCCCCGCAATTTGTAAATTATTAAAGAAGTATTCATTGAGTGCTGCCATGAGCCAGGACCTATTCTGGCCTCTGGGAATCCAGCCGTGCGTGAGCAGCCTGGCCTCGGCCTTACAGACAGAGCTCACGTTCTCACGTGAGAGGGGCACGCTGCAGGTGGCCGTGAGGCCGAGCGAGCTACCCGGGTATCTGGAGCTCCGTGTAAGCACTCAGCCAGCACTAGCGGTGGCGACTGTAGTCAATACCATGGGGGCGCCGAGGGTGGCAACCCTGCTGTGGCAGTGCAGAGCCTGACTGGCTACCCTGAGAGCTGGGACTGTGGCGTCCACAGCCTCAGGGCCCTCTCCTCCTGACCCTGACTGTGCTGTGCTCTGTCTCCCTAGGCCTGGACATCCACTTCATCCACGTGAAGCCCCCCCAGCTGCCCTCCGGCCAGACCCCAAAGCCCTTGCTGATGGTGCATGGCTGGCCTGGCTCCTTCTACGAGTTTTATAAGATCATCCCGTTCCTGACTGACCCCAAGAACCATGGCCTGAGCGATGAGCATGTTTTTGAAGTCATCTGTCCATCCATTCCTGGCTACGGCTTCTCAGAGGCATCTTCCAAGAAGGGTACGGGCTGCTGCAGGCTGTGTCACTGCCCCAGGGGTGGGGAGTCGGCTGGGACAGCTTCCTTCAGAGCCTAAGGAGGCTGAGGAAGGAGGGGTCTGAGACCAGAGGGAAGAGAAGCAATGGGGGCGATTTTATTGCCAGAGGGCCAGTGCATCTTCTCAGGATGTGAGGGGCGTGGCAGGCGGGGGACCGGGCCGAGTCACGACTGTCCAGAGCTGGCTCAGGGCCTGGACTCTCGTGTCCTCAGGAGCTGCCAACTCAGGGCAGGTCCACGTGTGGGCCCTGCACTGTTCCGGGCCAGCGAGGCCGACTAAGCCCCGCACGCAGCGTGGGCCCACGGACGCTCAGCCGGACCGGCCTGAGCCTATCACACGCCCTCACTGTCTCCTGCACCAAGGCCAGCACCAGAGGCACTGCCTTCTGGGCACCGGGCACCCCACCCTTGGGCTCCAGGATTCCTTCTCACCCCCTGTGAGCTGCTCTCCCCTCAGCCTGGGGCGGGGGTGCTGAGGAATCTCAGAGGGCCTGGGAGGACCCAAGGCGTGACCCCCACGCGGTTCTTCTTTCCCCTTTACAACCAGGCTTCGACTCAGTGGCCACTGCCAGGATCTTTTATAAGCTGATGCTGCGGCTGGGCTTCCAGCAATTCTATATTCAAGGCGGAGACTGGGGAGCCCTGATCTGCACCAACATGGCCCAGCTGGTGCCCAGGTGAGGGTGGCTGTCAGGCGTGTGTGTACGTGTGCAGGTGTGTGTGCACAGCCCATGTGAGGTGGATGTGCAGGGAGGCGGGTTATGCACGCCAGGCCCTGCCTGGGAGTAGTGTCTGAGACTTGGAGCAGGGCCCACACAGGCAGGATATGTGTGGACCCAGGGGAGACAAGGGAGGGTCCCTGTCATTCAGCTCTGCCTGGGGCACTTCGACGTGGCTCTTCCCTCCACTTGATGTCACACAGGATTGGTGACTCTGGGCCAGGTTCCCAGGCAGAGAGGGCCAGTTAGAGGAGGGGAAAGTTGGGGAGTATACCTTTCTGATGGACCAAGTCCCAGGAGAGGCCTGACCGGTACCTGCCCTTCCACCATGTGGTCACCCCAGGGGGCAGAGGCCGAAGAAGGCTGGCCCTGTGCTCTTCAGCCCTGTGGCCTCTTTCTCCTCCATCTCTGCCCCTGTCGCTTCCCCATCCTTGATGACACCCAGCCTCCCCTGGCCCTTCTCTGCCCTCAGCCACGTGAAAGGCCTGCACTTGAACATGGCATTCATTTTAAGAAATTTCTACACCCTGACCCTTCTCCTGGGACGGCGTTTTGGGAGGCTTTTTGGCTACACCAAGAGGGATATGGAGCTGATGTACTCCTTAAAGAAGATCTTCTTCAACTTATTGAGGGAGAGCGGCTACCTGCACATCCAGAGTACCAAGCCGGACACCGTAGGTGAGTGGGCAGGCGGAGGGAAGCCTGGCTCAGTGGTTCGGGTCGGGTGGGCTGACATCCATTCCATTCAGCAAGGCTCCCAACCGGGGGGAAGCCTCACCCACCCCAGGAACACGGTTCACGGGGTGAAAACCTCTTGTGAGAGACTCAGAGCTCCTTCCACCCTTACACGGCATTTCTCCACAGACACGAGTGATGCGTGGTCATAAAATTCCCAAACAGCTCCATTGAGCGGCATCAGTGTTCCTGTTGGCTTTGACCCCTGGTCCTTCCACCCCTGAGCCCAAGTCCTACAGTGAGAAGCAGAGGGATGGACAGGGATGGGGGGAGGACGAAGCCTAGGGCTCTTTAGGCCTGGGGCTTTGGGGGCAGGAGGGTGCCCCAGGGCCTCGGGGGAGTGTCCCCAAGACTGAGGAGGGCCCAGCAACCGTTTCTGCCATCAGGGCCCTGTTAAGGAATAATATTTTTTTTTTTTTGCGGTACGCGGGCCTCTCACTGTTGTGGCCTCTCCAGTTGCGGAGCACAGGCTCCAGACGCTCAGGCTCAGCGACCACGGCTCACGGGCCCAGCTGCTCTGCAGCATGTGGGATCTTCCCGGACCGGGGCACAAACCCGTGTCCCCTGCATCGGCAGGTGGACTCTCAACCATTGTGCCACCAGGGAAGCCCAGGAATAATATTTTTTTTAAGATATTAATCACACAGCTATACTTTGTGTGTGTGGGGGGGTATACTATATATTTTGTCAATAAAGTAATTTACAAATGTAAATTAAACCCCCCCCAAATATTTAAAAAGATAAAATCATACAAATAAAAAATGAACACGTGTCAAAGATTTTATTTAACTCATTAATTAATAAAGGAACTAGTAAAATGTAAAACAGAACAGTTCGAAGGCAACTGGGAACACTAAAGTACATTTGCTAATAGATGCAAAACTTGTCAAAATCCACAGGGTAAAACTCAAGTAAATCTCCACGGGACAAATTTATTTTTCTTTTAGTTTTTTTGAGATATAACTGACATACAGCACTGTATACATGTAAGGTGTACAGCATAATAACTTGACTTACATCTGTTGCAAAATGATTAGCACGATAAGTTTAGTTAACATCCAGCATCTCATAGATACAAAAAAAGAGAAAAAAAATGTTGTTTACTGTGTGATGAGAACCTTTAGGATCTACTTTGCTTCTCTGTGAACAAGAATCATTTGCATTCCTATCAGTTTTCAACAATGTACAGAGCTGTAAAAATAGCTCTAAGACAACAGAAGAGGGATCCCCTTGACAATCACATGACCCCAGAAGGGTCCACTAGAAACTCTTCGAATTCCACTTAGAGGATACCCAGAAATTGTTTTGCCCATTTCTAAGTCTTTTAGAGTTTCCATGACAGTCTCATGCTCACACACGTTAGGCAGCTCATGATAATAATAACAGTGTTTTATAAAACCAGTTTTTTTCCTCTGATTATAAAAGTAATCCATGTTCATTGTCAAAAAATTGAAAGATGCAGAAAAGCACAAAATAGAAAAGACAATCGCCTGAAACCTCTCGTCCTTCCCTACCTCTCCTCTCCCAGACCTGCAGAAGAACTTGCTAACATTTTGGTTGATGAATTTTCGCAAATGGGATCTGTCCATATAACCAGCACGCACTCAAGAAACAAAGCATGACCCACCAGCCCAGAAGCCACCTGTACCCTCTTCTGGACACTACCCATCATGCCCAGGGCAGCCAGCCTCCTGACCTCTGACAGATAGATTGCTTTTGCCTGTTTTTATACTTTATATGCACTGGAATCCTCAAATAGGTGCTCTTTTGAGTCTGGCTTCTTTTGCTGAATATTTTGTTTGTGAGATCCATCCATGCCATTTTTAATGCTTGCTCAGTCTTTGAGCTTATGAGTGGATCAATATTATCTGTAACTGGTTCCGTATTTTGGACTTTTAGGTTGTTTCTAATTTTTCACTAATCATAGAATAGAAACCAAAAAAAGCCCACTTTTTAAAAACAGCATTCCTATGTACTTCTCATTGGGATCCTACAAAACCTGGAGTCATAGACGGTTCAGTTTGAAGGAAGTTGCCCGTATAGCGTATGGATCCCTAAGAGGTAGTGGGAGAGGTGTTACCCCTTTTGCCATGAAGGATTCCAAGGCCAAGGGTCAAGGAAGTGAGGTGCTCCTAGAGTTAGGGCAGGGCTGTGCTCTGACGCGGGCTTCCTGCCCACGGTGCCGCTCTGGGGGACCGGCACCGCACCTCTGTCCTGCTGGCCAGCTCCCTGGCCCCAGGCCTGAGCCGCTCGCTTGCTTCTTCCCGTGTCAGGCTGTGCTCTGAATGACTCTCCCGTGGGACTGGCTGCCTATATTCTAGAGAAGTTTTCTACCTGGACCAATCCAGAGTTCCGAGACCTGGAGGATGGAGGCCTGGAGAGGTGAGACCCCGTCCACCCCTGCTGCTGACACCGCCTTCCTTACCCACTCCCTTCTCGCCATCTTCATCCCTGCCTGCTTTATCTGGGTGGGATGGTCAGCAAGTTCCATCTGTTGCTGGATGTCCCACAAATCCTCACCCTGTGGCCAGCCTAACCCTGATTTTTGGATGAGGAAGCTGAGGCCCAAAAAGGTCTAGCCTCACAGTGGAGGGGTCAAGAATAGGATGCAGGGCTCAAGACTGTTCTGGTTGCTAAACAGCCTCCTCCTGGGACCGGGGCGTCCAGAGGGCAGCAAGAGCCTCTTATTGGTCAAGACGTGGGAGCAGCCCACGGCCCCTGCCCCCGAACCCTGGAAGAGCCGGGCCTCATGGCCGTAGGAATGCATGCTCTGTGGAAGCTGGTCCTGCAGGGTGGCTGCAGAAAGAGTGGGGAGGCTGTCCTGTCTCCCGAAGCCTTGGAGGCTGCAGCCTCGACAGCACAAGATTCCTGGGTCCCTGGTCTGACCTAAGCTTCATCAAGGTTGGTCTTGACCCACCTTCTCCAGGGCCCATCCCTTTTGTTATTGCTTCAGAGACACAGAGAGTGCCCGATACAGTGCTAAGATGTGGAAAAGAGTGAATGGATCTGGCCCTGGAAGTAGGGACTTTGTCTAAGCCATGCCCTAGCCCCAGCACCTGGAACAGCACTGGGCATATAGTTGGTGCTCAATAAATACTTGTCTAATGAAATGAGCTCTAAAGATACATGCCAAGAACTGTGGGGCATAGAGAAAGGAGGATTCACTCTGTTTAAGGGACAGGGAGGGGAAATGACTGGGAGAATCTATTTGATCTGGGCCTTAAAGGATGAGTAGGAGTTTGCCAGGTGGAAAAGGCGAAGAAGGGAATTTAGGCAAAGAGAAGAGCAGAAGCAAAGGTTGGAGTGATTAAAATGCATGGTGTACTTGGAAGGGGTAACTTGTCCAGAGGCTGGAGCAGGTACAGTGGAGCCAGACCACAAACTCATTGCTACAGGCGGGTCCTCCAAGAGCCTCACCCTGGGATCTGTCTCCCCCGCCCCACACTGGGCAGCACCCAAAGGTCAATGGAGTGCCACCGGGAGCACCTTGGCGAGGGGTCCGGCCCTGCTTCTTGCACACAAGTACCTGGAGCCAGATGTGAGGCCGGCCAGATGGCCCGCGGGCTTCCCCCTTCAGCTTCTGCTTGGCTGCATACCAGAGCACCAAAGCTTTGAGCAGGGGACAGACGTGATCAGATCTGTGTTCTATAAGGGACACAGATCTTTTTGCAGGAGGGTGGAAATGGTTGCTGTGGTAGTTTTCAAGCTGTGGTCAGAGCTGTAGGGGTGATGGAAGCACTTGGCCAACTTGCCAAAAGCCAGTTCACCCGTTTATTTATTTTTAAAAATTTATATATTTATTTTTGGCTGTGCTGGGTCTTCGTTGCTGCGTGCGGGCTTTCTCTAGTTGTGGAGAGCGGGGGCTACTCTTCATTGCGGTGCGCAGGCTTCTCATTGCGGTGGCTTCTCTTGTTGTGGAGCATGGGCTCTAGGCACGCAGGCTGCAGTAGTTGTGGCGTACGGGCTCAGTAGTTGTGGCACGCGGGCTCTAGAGCGCAGGCTCAGTAGCTGTGGCGCACGGGCTTAGTTGCTCTGCGGCATGTGGGATCTTCCTGGACCAGGGCTCGAACCCATGTCCCCTGCACTGGCAGGTGGATTCTTAACCACTGCGCCACCAGGGAAGTCCCAGTTCACAAGTTTAAATGCTTCTTTTAACTGTTCAGTTTCCATTGACTGGTTTTCATTTTGTTATCAAAATTGCATTTAAAGAGACGTTCAGGACTTCCCTGGTGGCGCAAAATGTGGTTCTAAGGATAAAAATGTAATTGACCAACTGCATCTAAATAGCTGAAGCAAACAAGTAAATTAAGCAAACTGACCATTTTGGGCCCATTGGCTTCTGATGAATCAACGAAGCTAACTGCATACAGCTGAGGAGCCTGGCAGGCGGAGCAGCAAATGTTCTTTTTTATTTTATTTTATTTTATTTAATTTATTTATTTTGCGGTACGCGGGCCTCTCACCGTTGTGGCCTCTCCTGTTGCGGAGCACAGGCTCCGGACGCTCAGGCTCGGTGGCCATGGCTCATGGGCCCAGCCGCTCCGCGGCATGTGGGATCCTCCCGGACCAGGGTACAAACCTGTGTCCCCTGCATCGGCAGGCGGACTCCCAACCACTGCGCCACCAGGGAAGCCCGCAAATGTTCTTTAATCCAGGCAGCAAGGATGGGGTGGGAATGCAGGAGTGAGGGCAGCAGGGCTTGGCGGGGACACAGACAGGCTGAGCTCATTTTCGTCACAGACATGCCGAGCGGGAGATGCTGGCAGGATGCCCGGGCGCAGGTGTCCACTTGGTAACTGGGCTCACAGATCTGGAGCTCAGGTGGGGGGTCGAACTGGAAGGAGGTATTTCCACTGTCCTCTTGGTGAGTTCGTAGCTGGAGCCACAGGGTAGGTGTCCTCAGACAGAGCGCAGCAGGGCAGCATCCAGGGATGCTGGGAGGAGCCTTATTGGCTGCTGAAGGACCAGAAGTGAGAGAGCCTGGGAGGACAGACCTGGTGAGAGGGCTCTACCTGCGAGGCCTGGGCAGCAGGGACAGTTCCAGTGTGCAGGGTCAGGAGGCATGGGAGAGATGGCAGGGGCGGGAGAGAGGGGCAGGGGTATGGAGCGAGGGGAAGGCCTGAGGGCATCCGGGGTTGGGAGGGCGGGTGACTGACGTTTGGGCCTGAAGAGGCAGATGGAGGCATTTAGGGCCCAGGACAAGGGGCGACAGCTCTCCTAAGCCCCAAATCTGGACTCAAGCAGGGAAGGGTATGGGGGGTGGGAGCTGCTGCCCCATGAACTTGGATTTCCTCAAAGAGGCAGGCAGGGCAGGCGGGAGGCTGTGGGTGAGCACACGGCCGTCAGGACCTGCTGAGGAGGTGGCAGCTGAGGTTGGAGAGCGTGGCGTCAGTAGTGCTGGAGTCCCCTCACGTCTGTGGACTGTCGGGTGGGCTCAGGGTGGCAGAAGGCCCCCAGGGTGAGGGTACTGAAGGGGTGAGTGATGGCAGGGGAGCGAGAGGGCAGGGGAGGCCATATGGAGGGCTCCGGGGGCTCTAGACGCAGGCCGGGCTGAGGGAGCCCAGCAGCAGGAGAGAGAGAGGGCCTGGTGGGCCCAGGAGGAAGTGGGGCTTCCAGAGTCTACAGGCCACGTGCTCCAACATTAGGTACCAAATGATTATTTCCTTCCAGAGTGTGGGGCTCTGCAGTCTGGGTGGGGTTCACCTGCTCAGCAGTTCCCAGGCTGGAGAAGAAAAGGGGTGTCCCCTGCTGAGTGGGTGTGGCGGGTCTCTGCAGGAGCCCATGGCTCCCTCCTGGGGTGACACAGGTTTGGCGGGAGGCAAGCTGGGGGCTAGTGAATAAAAATGCCCCAGGAGCTGCTGACCCTGCCCTGCTTCTCCTGGTGCCCGGTCAGGGCAGGATCGGGGCTTCTGAAGCCTGCCTGGAGATCAGGTTTGGCTCAGGGCCTAGCAGGGTGGGCCCCCCTGAGGATGGTCTGAAGGTGGCCTGCACTGAGGTCCCAGGAGTGGGCACCACCTCTGAGCAGGGTTTGCAGCATCCTACCCACCGACCTCCTGGCTACCCAGCGGTGACCAGCCAAAGCCTCTGGGTTCAGTTGACCTCACCTGCTTCACCCCTTCTGGCCTGAGCCGTTAGGCAGGTCAGGGAGGGGGCTGGCTGACACCACCCAAGATGACAGCCTGCCTTGTACATGGCCATCACTCTGCATTACCTGTCATCACAGTTATGGTGACGCTGGGCCAGGCCTGCCTGTGGCACGGGGATGAGATCGCCAAGCTGGCAGTGAGGCCTGAGGAGGGAAGCCAGGAGGGCATAGCGCCTGGCGTACAGCTTGAAAGTGGCGGCCCTTCTTTGTCATACAACTGCACCTGGCACTGAGAGGGGCCTTCTGGTCTGCTTTCCCAGGAAGTTCTCCCTGGACGATCTGCTGACGGGCGTGATGCTCTACTGGACGACAGGCACCATCACCTCCTCCCAGCGCTTCTACAAAGAGAACATGAGGCTGGACAATAGGCACGAGGGGTAAGTCCGGCTGAGCCGGAGCGGGGCTTCTGAGGAGGGTGCCTCCGAGGCAGGGAGCAGGGGAATGGCCTGGCCTTGGACTCGAGGGAGGACGTTTGATGCGGTAAAGTACAGCCTAGCCTTAGGTGCGCACCGGGAGTGTAAGATGAGAACACAATTGAAAGGCCAGGGGCGTTGGGAGAGATTCCTGTCATTAGAAGTAGCTCATGGAGGGAACACCAGGCCTGGCCCCCAGACATCCCGAGGGGCTCCCGCAGGGCCGGGAGGCTGTCCTAGGGTGGCGGTGATGGCTCTGGGACTTCCCCGGAACCCTTTCCTGATCTCACAGGGAGACTCTCAGGCAGCAGCAGAGGGAAGGGGGGGGACAAAGGTGGGAGTTAGAGGCTGTCCCACCCCACCTCGGTGACGCTGTCCAGCTGGGGCAGCCCTTCCAGAAAAGAGGGCCCCAGAGAGGGCTGGAATTGAGGTGGGCGGTTAAAACCCTGGGTCTGTCCTTCTATGGCTCCACGTGGGCGAGCGAACTGAACCCCCAGCCCCCTGAAGCCCTGCCTTGGGGGAGAGGGGGACCAGGACACAGCTTCCCCCTCAGTGGGATCTCTGTCTCTTCCAGGATAAAGGTCCACGTGCCCATGGGCTTTGCTGCCTTCCCTTGTGAGGTAATGCACGTCCCAGAAAAGTGGGTGACGTCCAAATACCCGAAACTCATCTCTTATTCCTACATGCCCCGCGGGGGCCACTTTGCTGCCTTTGAGGAGCCAGAGCTGCTCGCCCAGGACATCCACAAGTTCGTGGGGCTGCTGGAGCGGCAGTGACCCCGGCGGGGGCCGGCTGTCACCTCGCAGGCAGCCCCTGCCCTGGCATGGCAGGCTTCCTCCCGACACCCACTGTTTTCCCCGGAAGCCCCCGGTCTCCCAGCCCAGCTCCCAGTAGAAGTGAGGCTGGCAGGGAGGCCCCCTCCCAGTCCTCTGTTGGCGGAGTTGCCCCTTTCCCCAGGAATGTGCTTGCTTCCATCCCCTGCCCGTGCTGGGACCCCGTGCTCACCCCTCCACACACACTCCCCACACACTTTGTTAAGCAACATGGCTTTGATGATAAATGATTTTCCTTCTAAGAGCGGCTGGAACAAGTGACATGTTGAGCCCCTGCCCCACGTGGGGTGCCCCTTCCAGCAGAGCTGCCAGGTCTGCACTGGGGCCCTTGCTCCAGCCTGGCCAGGAGAGGCAGGATGGGCCGCTGGGGCCGGCGGGAGGCCACTCTGTCTTCCCAGGTGCCGCCCGAGGCAGCTCTGAGCAGAGGCAGTGAGGCCGAGTGACTGCCGGGGACCTGCCCACCTCGCCTGGGCGGGGATGGTAGCGGCCTCCCAGCTCTGCCCACCGGCACCCATCACACCAGCTTGTGCCTCTGGCAGTAGGGAGGCAGCTTCTCTGGCAAGTGCCCAAAGGTGCGTCCCAAGCCGCGGGATCCTGTGGGGCGAGAAGAAGCAAGAGGCGGCGCCCCTCCTTCTGTGGCCATAGATCTCCCTTGGCTTCAAGGAGGCCCTGAGCACTGCTCCCTCTGGAGGGAGCAGACAGATGGAATCAAGGGCTGGAGGCTGAGCCCCACGCACTGGGCCCCGAAGAGGCGGCATCTCACCAGTCTGGCTGAATGGGCATTTTATTAGTGGTCCTCATTGTCTCTGCCAGCTGCAGGGGACCCTAACCCAGCCACAGTGTCACTGGCAACGTGACAGAAAAACACAGAACCATGGCAGGGACGTAGAGGAGACGGGGGCAGCCCAGCACCGGCCCGCTCCCGTCCTGCGCCCTGCGGCTCGCTCCGGGGGGCCGGGGGGCAGGGGTGTGAAGGGCCTGATAGCCAGAAGGGGAAGCTGGGATGGACCTGGACCATCATCTGGCACCCATCTCAGGCCTGTGGTTGCTGCAGACTCTTTGGTTATCAGTTGCATGTGTGCCCGGAGGAGGGGGGCAGTGTCTGAATGCTCAGAGGGAGAAGGTCTTCCACATGGTACCTCCCCCTCTTGCTTGATACAGTCACCACACTAATGGGTTGGAGGAACACAGGGCCAACACACGATCCTGCTGAAAACCGTCAGGGGCACCATCCCAGCCACAGAACTGAGCACTTATGCAGAAGGGGGACTTGGAAATAAACAGAGCCTCGGGCAAGCAAGGGGGAGTCCAGAGCTGCACATCCTGCCCTTACCACTGCTAGGACTGGAAAAGACCACCACCTGATGGCAGTCCCGCACTTCCGCCTCAGCCAGGGGCCAGAGTCCCTTTCTGCTCCCATCTTGTTAGAGCTGTTGTGCTTAAAACAGGTGGAAAGAAGTCCTGACTTGGTTGAGGTTGGAGTCAAGCCACTTCTCCACCTGTGTCCCTTCCCCTCCCCACTCCCCGGGTCTGGACCAGCCCGGCAGCTCCCCGGCCCTCAGGCCTCCTGGCGGGCGGCCGCCACGCCGTCCGCAGGGCTCTGATCCAGGCACTGCCGTGGGACGGTCCCACTGATGTTGTGGATGGCGATGGCACCGTAGGTCTGCTGCTGCTGCGGGGACAGGGCTGTTTTCTCCGAGGACAAGCTGTTCAGAATCCGGGGCACGTAGGACTGCCAACAAATGGGGGTGTTAGTGCTTGGGTGGGGTGGGCACGAGAGTCCCTATCCCGTTCCTCCCCTACCGCCCCGCCTCCCTGCAGCCGGAAGACACACAGAATGCTCGTGAAGGACACATAAAGAAATAACATCAACCTAGGACATCAGGACCTAAACTACGCCAACTGCAGATTTTCCTAACAGCCAGAGCAAATCAGAACACACAGTCACAGTTCTCCTGGTCATAGAGAAGAAAGCGCACACACCAATTTCTCAGAGGAAACAAAACTCTTCCTGGCACTGGATTCTAGAAGAACTTCTCACTCTATGTAGGAAACAGCTCTGTCTACACAGGGCAGGCTTAGAATGCTGTCAGCGGGACTTCTGAGCAGCTGACCGACTCTGCAGGTTCTGTTTCCTCTCAATCCCAGACTCCAGCTGCCGACCTGAACCAGGCTGGGAACGAGGGATCTGCATCAGCCCCCTGCCCTGTCTGGCAGGCATAGTCACAGGTGTGCCTCTGGGTAATGAAGCTTCCTGAAACCTTCTCTGGGGCTGGTCCAGAGACAGACACTGACACCCGAGAGGGAGCCACTGGAAAGAATGCCACTGCTGATCTAGATCGGCGCTGTCCCAGCCCTGTCTGTCAGGCCGGGCGGTCACAGCTCCGGGAGCCTGTGGCTCCACGCTCCTTTCCCAACCCCACCCTAGGAGCAGGACCCTGGAGGCCGGAAGCAGGGAGAACCAGGAAGGAAAGGAGTCCTGGTGTCTCTCTAACACTGTGCCCCCCCTCCATAGCAGGTAAAATGTTCATTTGTTGAATTCAGAGGGGAGTTAGTGTGACACCCTCTAGGTGCCTAGCAAAGGACCTCACACAGGCAGGCGCTGGCGAAATGCTCTGATAAAGCTTCATCAAACCACAGGGCCTTGCCATATGGCTTCGCTAAAGGCCCAAGCTCACCAAGCATTAAATATGCAGAGAAGGAAAGTGAGCAGGCAACTGAAACCGAGGGAGATGCGTATACATCATGGCAAAACTAATTATCTTCTGGCGATGGGTGTGGCTTCACACATGCAAGAGAAAACATCCGAGGGACCAGGGATTCCTTCTCAAATGACGTTAATTCAGAAACCCGCCTGGCACGTGATCAAGGGACTTCTGTCTTAACAGGAGAGGATCAAAGCAGGTTTGCAGGGCCCATCTGGTCGGGGCCGGTGCAGATGCTCATGCTTGGCTAAGAACCGCACTTACCGTGAACGGTGATGGCACGTGGGCCCCTGCCTCACTTCCTTTGTCACTTGCCGATTCTTCCGTCTGCAGACAACAGCAAAAACTTGCGATGATTAAACAAAACCAATCTTCCTGAACTAACACCCTCTAAACAAACAGACTATTAACACCCAGAATAATAGTACCAGCTGGCACAAAGCTCCCAGCGGCAGCCCAAGAGAGGATGGTGTGGGCAGTGCAGGGAGCAGGGAAGGGGGCAGGGAGGGAAGCTACACATCACACCCAGCTACCCACGCCTTGCCCGTGGATAAATAAAATCTGGAGAGGGCCGTTGATCTGTTGATCTGGGAAGAGGTAGAGACGGGATGGAGAATGAAGCCACCATCTTCTCCTCCCAGACCCTGGCTGGGCAGCAGGGGGGGAGGGGCCCTTTACCTTGTAGTTCAGAGGGCTGAGGTGCTTGAAGCATCCAAAGCAGGTGTAGGCCAGGCAGACCAGGATGGTAAGCAGAAGCACCAGGAAGGTGAACACGGTGAGGGGAGCCTTCAGACCTGGGGACAGAGAGATGCCAGCCTTGGCAGGGGGGAGGTCACACCTGGTGCAGGAACCGTGTGTGGCTTCTCCCTCAGGCCGAAGACGAAGAGAAGGCATCAGCCGCCCCCTTCCCACCATCTCCAGCAGCTGGGATGGCATCTTCACAGGCAGGGGCACAAAGAGTGACCCACTGAACAGCTGGCGTTATCCCTGGTCAGATTTCAGGTACTGGGGCACCGGGTCAAAGGCAAGTTGCCAGCTTCCTTGCCGGGTCGGTTCCCTCCGGTCTCCAGTGCCCTCGGCAGAGTCACACATCTCTTCTGCCTCTTCCTTTTTCTCAAGAGTGACAGTTCTCCCTCCTGCGTGTCCCCACTGCCTCCACACCGTGAAGTGTGAGGACCTGGGCCCACCCACACCTGCAAAGAGCATCGCGGACGAGCTTCCCCCTCTCTGGTTCAGCCCCTTCATAGCTGGTAAAGGGACCATCTTCTCTGTCAGGCTGTCTGGGGCAATCGCCCTGGCCTTCACCAGGTTACACCTGACCTCAGGATAGCTTGGAACTGGGCTGTCGGCGCTGTGCCCAACCAGCCCTCACCCTTGGGGTACCACCTTCTGATTGGACACCGAGTTGATGCTCTTAAAACAGGAAGGGCTTTGACTGGCTGGTGTGGCTGCGGGAATAGGAGGCTGGGTGTTGCCTCCTGCCCTCCACCCCCGCCCTAGTCAGGCCACTCACCCAGGCGCAGGAAGGAAAAGAAGTAGAGCCAGAAGAGGCACAGGATGGGAGCGGCCAAGGCCTGGTTCACGGCTGCGAAGTGGATTCTCTTCTCCAGCTTTGCCGGGAGGTAGGCGAAGTAGAGGTTGTGCCGGTCGACCATGTGCTTGAGCAGGATGTAGATGAGGCCTGCAGGGCCAGGGCCGTGAGCTGGACGGTGGCTGGGCCGCAGGGGCCACTCGACGCCCTTCCTCCTGGAGGTGGCTACTTGTGCCGGGAGCTGGGCTGGGGCTGCGGCTGGGCTACGTGCACACGTGCACGTCCTGGCTCCTACTGCTTTTTCTCCTTCTCTTTCTCTCCCCGCCCCGCCCCGCCCTGTCCACCTCTCCCCCTCTCTCCTTTCCCCACCTCCCCTCCCTCCCTCCCAGCCTCTTTCTGACCCAGGGAGTAGAGGTGTCTGTGCTGCTGTCCCCACGGAACATTGAAATTCTAGGACCATTTTGGGGAAAGAAGCGATTTTACACCCAGAGGCCTGGCCTCAACTTCCTCCCACGCTGAGCCCCCCTCCTCTTATCCCTCAGTGCTCCCATGCTCCTTTCCTTCTCCCACCCAAGCTGACCCCCTGTACCGTCACTGCCAACAGATGCCCAAGCGTCTAAACCCAGGGATGGCACAGGAGGTGGGTGGGTGCTGCCTTTTCTATCATGTCAGGTTCTTTAAAAACATTTTTTGTTGTTGTTTTGAAGGAGTAATACTATCGTAGATCTTTAAAAATAGTACGAGGGCTTCCCTGGTGGCGCAGTGGTTGAGAGTCTGCCTGCTGATGCAGGGGACGCGGGTTCGTGCCCCGGTCTGGGAGGATCGCACATGCCGTGGAGCGGCTGGGCCCATGAGCCATGGCCGCTAAGCCTGCGTGTCCGGAGCCTGTGCTCCACAACAGGAGAGGCCACAGCAGTGAGAGGCCCGCGTACCGCAAAAAAAAAAAAAAAAAAGTACGAGAGTATACAGGGAAAACTAAAACTTCCTCCTTTCCCTAAACCACAGCTATCACTGCCAACAGTCTCCAGGGTGTTCTGTTTCCTTCCAGACGCTTCCATTTGTCTGCCAGCTCCTGATGGTGTATTTTAATTGCAAGACCTTGACCTTGTAAGTCAAACAGTCCTAAGTTCATATCTGGGCTCTACTCCTCACTAACAAAGCGTTAAGTGCTTCATCTGTGAAAAGGGGACAGAAACAAGACCTGCCTTGAAGGATCGTGAGAGAATTAAGTGTGACAGTCCACGTGGAGAGTGACAATGGCCTCCAGAGCCAGGACACAAACACGAGAGCCTCCACCAGTGCTGCTGGCACTGTGCTAGCCGCTGCCGGAGGGTCAGCCAGGAATGAAGCGGTCAGCCGGCAGAGGCCCTCAGACCAGGAGGGGTACTAAGAGAGCTTGCAGTGCGGAAGGCCCACGGAAGGAATCCACGAGAAGTGAAATTAAATGTGGCGTCCCCTGTGGCTCCCTGGCAGCTGATGGTTCCTGTGGCTACAAGGGGCCCTCTGTTTGTGGGGCTCCAGGACGCCCTGCCGATGGCTGTCAGCCATCCACCTACCCGGGGACCGGCCCCAGGGCCACTCACCGAACGGCACGATGATGGGGCAGGTGATGCTGTAGGCCATGATGACGGTGAAGACACAGAGCATCCACGCGTACATGGCTCCAAACTCGTACTCGAAGGCCTGGTTCTGGGAGGGGGAGGTGGTGAGGGGCTTAGGGGTTTGGTCCACACCAACCCGCCTCTGTGCACTCCAAGTGGTCGGGGAGAACACAGTGCGGGAGGACTTTGGAAGTGGGAGGCTCACCGCGCCCCTCACCTCTCAAGGCCCCTTCTGTCCCTCCACAAGCCTCCTCCAGCTTCACCTGGCTCACACCCAGACCTCGAAAGGCACAATGACTCATGTTTTCGTAGTGTTTCTCTTGTTCTAATCCTGTCTACACAACAGGCCTGTGAGCCCCCAAAGGGCAGAGGGGCTACATCTGACTGTAGAATGATACTCCACAGACTCTGTCAGACCCAACATCACTCCGCCCCTTCTAGCCGTGTGTCCCGGGCCAAGCACTTGACCTCCAGGTGGCTTAGTCTGTGCGTCTGCAAAGCAAACTCCAGTAGCGCCCATCTCACGGCGGGCTCTGAGGATTAAATGACAGGATGCAGGGCTTCTCCTCTTATGGTTCCCACAGTGGCAAAGGAGAATAAAAGAGAACCCCAGACACCCAATTTAGAGAGTCCTGGAACAAATGCCACCAGCCCAAAATGCCTTGACCTCTGTAGTAATCTAAGAATTTATGCAAATGAAGGTCCATGGGAAAGAAATGTGTGTGTGTGTGTGTGTGTGTGTGTGTGTGTGTGTGTGTGATCAGCCCAGTTAAAAGGCAAAAATCCCCACTCTCTCCTCCAGCCTGAGTCAGTGTGGAGGATGACCTAGCCAGGCCCTCACCCAGGCTCCTTACACCTCCTCTCCTCACAGCCCTGGGCCCAGTTGAGAGGCCCTGAGCAGAGTGCCCGGCACTTAGCAGGCGGCTGGGTGAACGCGGGCGGCGGGGAGGCTCTGGGACGAAGGCGGCGCCCACCCCCAGCCTCTGTACCTGCTTGATGTTCCTGCGGTCGGCTGCAGTCTTGGCCATGACCATGCGGAAGGTGTAGAGGATGAGGCCGGGCAGCCGCAGCAGCTCCATGCCGTTGCCAATGAAGGCCGAGGCGATGACATAGTTCACAAAGAAGGCGCCCTGGTCGGGCAGGAAGACGCACCTGGGGAACCACCGGGTGTGCGAGCTGAGCGCCCCGAGAGGGAGAGGGGCCCGTGACTGAGCAGAGACGGGACTCAGAACTGACCACGGATTTGGCCATCTGGAAGTCACTGTCAACCTAGACCCGAGCTGGTTGGGTATGGGTGTGTCTGTCTGTGGCTGCCAGCTCCCAAGTCCTCAGTTTACCCAGCGAGAACCCATTTAAGAAAATTCACTCTATCCTTTCAGACAGGCACGGCCAGGCTTCCCTGTGAGCAGTCCTTTGGAAAAGTCTATCTTGGACATTCGGGCCTACATTAGGACTTAAAGTATAGTACAGTAGGGGCTGGGGATGAATCCCAGCTCTGTCTCTTAACTAGCTGGGTAGCCTTTTTTTCTTCAGCATGTCTGGGCCTCAGTCTCATCTGTAAAATGGAAATAGTCAAATTTCTGACTCATAGCTTGTTTAAAGATTAAATGAAAGAAAGAATCAAGCATTTAGCATAGCATTTTCTTAAATAACCGCTATTACTATTAAGTGGGTTCGGTACAAGTTGAAAATACTAACGAGGACACACATTAGAAATAAGTTCAACTCCTCTCTCCTAGCAAAAATAATCCTGGACCAGACAGTCATTCTGGTTGCAGTGTTAATTATTATTCTCCTTCCCCCTTCCCTGGCACCACTGAGACCCAGCAGTTCCTTCTCCCCAGGTGGTTCTGTTCTCAGTAAGTAAGTTTCAAAGAATGAATGAGAACGCCACTAATTGAGTTTCAACCTAAAAGATTAACCACATTTCTGCACTTGTAGCACAAAGTGGGTCAGTTCCCCCGGTGCAGCCCCGCCAGGAACCTGTAGTGGTGCGGGGAGTCCACAGGCCCTGAAGGACAGACAACCCTCCCCCCACTGCAGCCCCAGCCCCAGCCCCTGGGGGACGTGGCTCCACAACTCAGCGTGGCCGATACTTACTCCAACCTGACAGAGGCCTCCGAGGAAGTTTTATCAAAGAGCCACCGGAAGAAAAAATCCAAACTGAAAGAAAAATGAATCCCGTAAGAACTTATTTCCAACAGTCCATGTGATCACTGCATATGTTTTCATTTTCTTCTGCTTTTTTTTTTTTTAAAAAAAAAGGCCAAATCTCAAGATCTACCCTGGTTCTCTAAGATGCTACTTATACCATAACTCATCAGGGCCTGCTTTGACAGAAACTTCCTTCCTCAAAATAACCAAAGCCATGATGAGACCCTCTCCCTAAGTGGAAGGTCCATGGTAAGTTTCATTTTCAAGCTTTTTTTTTTTTAAGGCAGAAAGATCATATCTCTGGAAGAATCAGTGGGCCGGCACACTTGCATGCCAAGTGAGTGTGACAGGTTCAAATGTCGTCAGGAATTTGCAACCACTCCCAAAGCATCTGCATTTTCTTGAGGACAGTGTTCTCTGTTGTGACCCTGGTTCTGAATTTAGAGCAGGAGGTGGTAATATGTACCTGGTGAGGCCCAGGGAGGGCAGAATCAGCACCATGAAGATCAAGAATATGTAGACCTTGGTCATCATGATTCGGTTTTCCCCTGACCTGCAGGAAGTCAGAGGTGAGCCGTCACAGTCCCTCAGGTGCACCGGGCGTCCGCAGTAAGGCCCCGGCTGTATGCCCATCGCGCTGGCGGGGAGGGGGCATCAGAGACACCCGCCTCAGGGGCGAGCCCCAGGGAACTCACTTGGTCCAGTGAGACTCCAGCACCGTAGAGTAGTAAACGACGGTGGGCAGCAGGGCTGAGAAGGACCACAGGAGGAGGGTTGGGAAGAACTGGCTGATGATGGGGTCCTAGAAAACAGTCCACAGCAGAGAGAGCTGTGAGCCCTGGGGGCTTTGGGCCATGACCTGTTGGCATGGTGACTCAGTGACCTCTGGGATTTTGGTCACTTTTGTCCCCCAGAAGCAACATTGTACCTGGTACAGGGTAGATAATGTTGGCTGAACAGACAATAACAGCACCTGACATTGTACAGTGCTTTCTTTTTCTTTTTCTTTTTTTTTTTTTTTTGCGGTACACGGGCCTCTCACTGCTGTGGCCTCTCCCGTTGCGGAGCACAGGCTCCGGACACGCAGGCCCAGCGGCCATGGCTCACGGGCCCAGCCGCTCCGCGGCATGTGGGATCTTCCCGGACCGGGGCACGAACCCGCGTCCCCTGCATCGGCAGGCGGACTCTCAACCACTGCGCCACCAGGGAAGCCCCAGTGCTTTATTTTTCTTATTTTTATTTAAAGAAGATTTTTGGCCACACTATGTGACATTTGGGATTTTAGTTCCCCCACCAGGGATCGAACCTGTACCCCCTGCAGTGGAAGCATAGAGTCTTAACCACTGAACCTCCAGGGAAGTCCCTTTATAGCTCTTTAGAGTGAAGAATGCAACTTCACATACAACTGAACTCCACTTGTCTTACTGACCAGAGAGATAACCTCCTCCATTCCCTATAGAAAGCCAATGACGGACACCAAAGGAAGACAGAGCACTGACGGCCAGGGCCCTTCCCCAGCCACCTGGCCCAGTCGTAGCTTCCCAGAACTGCTTCGTGATTGTTCCCAATCTCATCTATGCCTGTTGTACTTGTTATTGCAATTACATGGTTCGATTAACTTATTACCTTCTCTGATAAAATGAGCATAGCAATAGAGAGATTTCTTTGAAAACTAAGTTGGGTACATTGGAAAGACTTGATAAAGGCCAATTTCTCAAAAACGCTGCTGAATGAGATGAGAGTGAATTAACTGTAAAAGACCAAGGGAAATGAAATCTAGGAGGGTTCTATACTTTGAACGGCTTTGCAAGTATCTTTAAGTTCTTGCTTGACTGTGAGAAAGCAAAACTAGAATCACAAACAATGAAATAAGCGTGTGTTTTATATAAAATACACAAAGGGGAAATCCAGTCAGCAGATCCTTCCTCAAAAGAACAGGCCTTGACCATACATCAAAAGACTGGCAAAGGAATAAACATGTAGATGCTTTAAATCTAAACAAAACTTACATATTTTTTATTATCTATTGAGTCATTTGGTCATCACAACGGCCCCATGGGTATAACATAGCGGAGTGTTATAGAGGACAAAGCCAGTTTTTAGAGGAAAAACCAAGGCTCAGAATTCCTCAGCTAGGGAATGGCAGAGCGAGGACCAGGCCCTCAGGCCCCCCAGCCCACTGTGCTCTCCCAGAGTGTGATTAACCAAATGCCAAGTGGAAATGAAAAAACAAAAAAGGATGTGGAGTGATATTTCGGCAAAGACAATGTGGGAAACCAAGTAGATGCCATTTTAGGGAGTGTTCAGCTGTTATCAATTCATCTAAGATCCTTAAAAATCATTCATTACCTATCTAGAATAAGGACCTTTACAACAGGATTATCAGAAACTGAAATATAAAAAGAAAACTTGATTCATGACCCTGCCACCCCAACCAGAGAAGGCTTTGCATCCTTTGCTGCCCACTCCCCGTAGCAGCCATCCTGCACACACATCACTGGCACACCACTCTAACCACTGCTGAGAGAGAATTTCATATTCTGCTTTTATCGTAAAACCCCACGTCTGCCACAAAGTCTATACAGTTTTTTAATGGATGCTTAACAGTCTGTCAGACTGAATATACCTCGTTCAACTCCTAATTCTACCCCTACTGTTGAACATTTAGGTTGATTCCACTGTATCTATGTCTCTATAGTTAACACATATACATACACTTACATGTATACATAAAGTGTATACACACATGGATATCTACATAACGTTACTATAAAGACATTGTAATAAATGTGGCCATGCCTGCTCAGGGGCTTCAAAGCACATGAGCCGAGTGACACGGCCTCTGGCTTCAGTGGCCCCCACGGCTCTTGGTCTCATTCCTCCCGCACCCGCCATGCCCTCTTGGCAGAGGCCCTGCGGAGTGGTCACTCACATTTAGCGCATGGATGGGTTTGGTGACGTTGAACTTGTCCATGGTGGACAGGATGATGGAGGGCGTGGTCAGGAAAAACAGCCCCAAGAAGAGAGTGAAGTTGATGCCCAGCCATTGGAACCACCAGCGGAGGCCCTGGATAGAGAGGTTCTTCCTGCAGGGGGAGGACACAGGCCTTGGGGGTTTATCTCTTAGGCTCTGGCCACCTATGACACCTACAGTGCCCACGGCTTGGGTGAGTCGGAAGGTCAAATTTAGGCAAGGCAAGAGACTAGACTGAGGGCTCTGGCTGAGGGCCCATCTTGACCTTGGGAGCACAGGCAAGTGTCCTGCACTGACCTTCAGCTATAGGAAGGTCGAATTTGGGGTCCCTATGAGCTCAGAGGGAAAACAGGTTATCTGCAGCTAGAGCCTGGGAGCCAGAACCTACTCGAAGAGATGCCATGAGCCCCCCAGCAGACCAAACAAGGCTGCAACGTGGCATTTTTCAGACACACTAAAGACACGTGACTCCCCACGGGGCCGTGAGCTGTGGTGTGAGCTGGAGGGAGGCGGGGGACAAAAGCAAAAGGCGCAGCTGGAACCCGCCCTGGCTTCTCACCCCACCAAGAGCAGACCGACAAACCAGTCCCAAGTTTAGAAAGCTCAGTGACCCAAAGAGCAGAACTGCCAGGGGCTGAAATACAGCCCGGTGGAGATGGGCGCCCAAACCCTGCTCTGGACCAGGAACTGAGGCCAGGCCGGATGACGAGCCATGCTGGGGCCTCTGCGGGGCTGTCCTCACCCTCGGCATGGTGCTTAAGGCTCCTGTGGACACAGCTCGGCTCACCAGCTTGTGGCCCAGGCTAGAGAGGCGGCTGGCACCTAACCCAGGGCTGCACTGTCTGTTACAGCAGCCTCGAGCCACAGCAGGCTACTGCGTGTTGAAATGTGGCTGGTGCAAACAGAGATGGGCCAGAAGTGGCACATACATGCTGGATCTCAAAGACGCTACGTATGAAAAGGAGACTAAAACATCTCAATTAAAAAAAACTGATTACATATTAAAATGATAATATTTTAGATACAGAGGGAGAACTCTTATTAAAGTTAATTTTAACAGTTTCTTTTTTTCTTTTTTTTTAAGACCTGTTTTTTTGTTGTGGTTTTTTGGGTGTTTTATGGCCTCACCGTGCACCTTGCAGGATCTCAGTTCCCTGACCGGGGATTGAACCTGGGCCATGGCCGTGAAAGCCTGAAATCTTAACCACTAGGCAATCAGGGAGCTCCCCGGTTTCTTTTACTTTTTTTTAATGTGGCTAAAAGGAAACTTAAAAGTACATACATTGCTCCCATTATAATCCTACCAGACACTGCTGATACCGGGGAGAAACAATGGAGTGAAGTCCTGGCTGTGGACACACCACCCACCCCCATCACACCTCCCACCCCCTGCCCAGAGGGGTGCAGGAGAGTATGAGTGTCTCTCTGAGTGCCAGGTCACACCTGTGCTTCCAGGTGACTTGGGCAGCCCTGCAGGGCTCCCAGGCCCCATTCCCGCCCCTTGCCGGCCTGGGGGCTCACCAGCAGATGTCTTCGGGGTAAGCGGCGAAGCTGACCGTCCACTTGGAGATGCAGAGCTCTCTGCTGTGGGAGGATGGCTGCGGGTCACTTTTGCACTGAAGGCCCTGACACTTGCAGGCGTTGAAGTCCTTCAGGATGCTGCCAGGAAATGTAGAAATGGCCAGGGTCCAGACCCCTCGGGGTACCATGTACCCACACAGCAAAGAGGACCATGTGAGAGTGGGAGCCCCATGGCACAGGACCTTTGCTTTATTATTAGTTTATTATACTTATGCTATAATTAGTGCTATGAAAGAGATGCCATTCTTAGCACATTATGTGCAGAATTTTGCTGAATCCTCAGGACAACCCTCTAAGCCGGGGATTACCATTCCTATTTTACAGATGAGGAAACTGAGGCTCTCAGAGTTAGGTTTTGCACCCTGTCTGTCTGACCCCAGCTCCCACGCTGTTGGCATTGCCCCAACATAGGGTTCCTCCTTGCGGCCCCCCTCTGCCCTGCCCATGAAGCTGGACATCCCGCTGCCAGGCCCGCGGCCTCACTTTTCCACTCCCTCACCTCTTCCCAGGCTCCATAGCAGCATTAGACTGCATCACCTATGACTCCAAGATGCCCCTCCCTAGGACTCCCACCCCCACCCTCTCCACACCTTCCCTCTTTAGTCTCCCACAAAGAACCCACCAGCACCCCTACTCCTGTCTCAGAACACTCTTCCTCTTTCCACTGGCCTCGTCCCCACCCCAGCCTCACTTGAGAGTCTGCAAGGCACAGCCAGGAGTCTGTTCCCAGGGTTCACGATGCACAAAGCAGGGAAGGCAGGGGAAGGAGCATTTGCTGGGCCAGCTCCTTTCCGTCTCCCTCTACCGACCCCATCCCCTGCTGCCCCCGAGGCGAGACGACATGGAGATCCCAGGCATGAGAGCGTTTTAGGAGCTAGAGCTCATGCCAAGGTGCACTATGAAAACCCACTCCCTTGGGCCAGGCTCTCAGCAGCAGTGAGCATCCTGGAGTGCCCAGAGGTATTCCCCCACAGCAGTGCATCTGTAGGGAGATGGGAAGGCCACGCACAGAAGGAAGATCTGTGGTTCCAGAGTGGGTACGTGAAAGAGGGTGGCATCCACCCCACCTGGTGAAATGCTGGCTCATAGAGGCAGTGGGATCCCTGGGGCAGCTGGTGAGAGCCCGGCAGTGGGGTAAGGCCATATCAACCCAAGAGGGGCTCAGCTGGAATCACCCATGCCCAGCTGTCACACAAACGTCGGCCAGGCTCCCCAAGGGAGTGGGTGTGGATGGCTGCCCCCAATCCCAGCCACACCGGCAGAAGGAGATGGAAATGCTACAAATCCCAGCGGTGGCGGTCCAGCAGTACCATCTCTATCCAAGAGGGACAGCAATTTAGCTGGAGGCAGACAAGGAACGTGCCCACACTCACTAGGTGGCCATGGACTTTTCCTGGAAGGTGACGAAGGCCATTCCCAGGGGCTGGTCCTGGACCCTGCATTCCTCTTCTGTGATCCTCTCCGTCAGCCTGTCCTTCATGCGCGTGTAGTAGGCGATGGCGTCCTCCTACCAGAGGACACATCCCCTTGTGATGACATGGCCCTGTGCAGGTCTCGGGGGACCCAGCGCCCACGTTCCCGGCGGGTGTGGGCCCTCACCCACTCACACCCCTTCACTTCACAGCAGCAGAACTGGCCGCAGGGCTTGGGGTTGATGAGGGTCTGCTGGCCTGTCTTCATCTGCAGGTTTGTGTAATAGGTCAGGCTCTTCTCTGTCTTTTTTCTGCAGTGGGAGGGACAAACTTCAGACTCGCGATCCTGTGGTGTGACTCACAGAGCCACTCCCCTCCTTTCCTCCCTAGGGGATCCGAGGCCAGCAAGGAAGGAGGATGGCATCTCAGAGGGAAGGAGTCAGAAAGGTGCAGGCCAGCTCAGTCCATGCCCGCCCACCCTGCCAGCCCTCCCTTACCTCTCCCTGCACAGGTAAATCAGCTTGGCCACGTTGTAGCACAGCTGGACCTCCACCACTTCACACGTGGGATACGCGTCCCTGTGCCCAGGGCAGATCAGAAGCAAAAGATAGCCATTGGAAAAGAGAACCCCCCAGGCAGGAGAGACCCCCAAGACTCCAGGCATGGCAGAGCAATTACACTGCTCATTTCTGTGCCAGGGGAGACCTCTTTCCTCTTTGTCTTTTACCAAAGGGGGAAATTTTGAAATGTAATACAAAGAGGTCCTTTTAAATAGCATGAAAGTAACTGCCTGAAACTGACAAGTTTATACCCACTTGGCTTTAAATCAGTCAGTACTTCTCCTGAAGAAAAAAAATAACACTATTCATTACCTCCTCTACCCATGCAAAGGAGTAAATTTATTGTTTGCTCTAGGTCATTCCTACTCTGGACCATCACTGAAATCCTATTCAGTTTGTGACCCTTTTGAAGATCACAGACCTTTTTGGTCTCATGAAAGCAAAGGACCCTCAGCCCAGTAAATGTATTAACTTATTTGATCCTTGCCATAACCTGTGAGGTTTGTGTCCCCATTTTACAGATGAGGACAATATGTGTCAGAGAGGTAAAACGACTTGTGCCCAAGATCACACAGCTAGTGAGTGTCTGAGCCAGGAAGTGAATCCAGGTGGCCCAGCTCCAGGGCCCATGCCTGTACCCAGCGTACGATGCTCCCTCACCATATACGCAAAATCCTATGTGCAACTCCTGGGCATTCCTGAACCGTGTACATCCCCACCTACTACTTGCTAGGCACTGGGATGGAGCCTGGATAAGTTTACATTTTAGTGAGAGAGAGAGACACAGCCCATAGACATGTCAGGCAGACAATTTCAGGTCCCATTACGAGCTTTGCGGAAGAGAACAATGGCGTAAGCATCCCTTCTACAAGGCAAATTCACACATCAATCCCCATGGATTGCAGCAGTGTTCACTAAAAGGGCTGCCTGAAATAGGAGAAGGTGTGATTCAGTGTTTGTAATGGGAATGAGAGGACTTTTTTTTCTCTTTAAGGTAATATATTAGGTGGAGCTACTGTTTCCAAATGTTGCCTAACAGGAAACTTTGGGGAGCTGTTTCAAGGAATAGAGAAAAATGATTCCAGTACCCAATGTTTATGTATAGAAAAATATTTCTAAAATACTTAGGGTTTCTAAAAGAGAGGTTAGTCAATAAATTTTAAACATTCATTTTGCAATTCTGTTTATACTAATAATTTGCTTAGCAAGTGTTCTTCATAAATAGTGCCAAGCCACAGCCAGCCCCTAATCCATACTACAAATTAATGACTGCTGATGAGGAATGAATACAGCCTGAAACCTCAGCTCCCTAGCCCAGGTGCAAGTCCTCCAGCCCAGGGTCCTGGGAGCCTTCCCGGCCTGCTCTCCCCGAACCATCCCCTTTCCCGAAGCTCCATGAGATGCCCTGCATTCATCGCACCGTACACACAATTTCCTTCTCACAGGAAGGCCCTTCCTCTAGCCTCCACCTGCAGGTCTCCCCGGTGCAGGTGCTCAGAGGAGGCTGCTGGAAAGGAGGTTCTGCTGGGAGAGCTGGGAGAGAGCTCTGTGAGGACAGGGCTCCGGACCCGGAGTGCTCACTCAAGAGGCACGTGCTGGGCAGAAGAATGAACCACGAAATGCAGAGCGGGGCCCAGGTCCCTCCCCGCCTCCGAGACTGCTGTCTCTCGGGCATCTCTGCAAAGCTGACGCTGAGAAGCCCAGGGTGAATCCTTTTCTTTTTTTTTTGTTTGCGGGGAATGTGTGGGCGTGTTGTTTCTATGAATCTTTTTCTCTGACCCTGAGCTCTCAAGATGTTTATCTGCCCCACACCCTGGCCTGTATTCTGGCTACTGCATTCACGTGGGCAGCCGTGGCTGCCGGCAGAGGACGTGCCGCCCCAGCCCAGGCCCTCACAGCCCCAGGAGAGCCTGCCCAGAGCCGCATCCGCGGCTCTGTGGCTGGGCCAAGTCCTCCTAGGGTGTCTCTCCCCTTCCCTCCCAGTGGAAGCGGCCCTGCTCACCGGAAGTGGCTCTCCACAGTCTCCTTCTTCGCGTCTCTGGAGAGTCCTGTGATGAACAGGGTCCGTCTTACCTGCCGGAGAAACACACCAGGGAGAAAAGTCACCAGGGCAAGCCAGTCTGCCAGGGGGACACACCCTGTTCAAGCCTCCTCAAGGAAGACGATGGGGACTCAGAGGCTCAGGTGCTTGCCTTCCTGGCCTGACAGAGCCTTGAAGTCTCTTCTTTACATAGCATCTTCTTCTAGGCAGTCAAGAATAAATTTCCAGGGAATTCCCTGGTGGTCCAGTGGTTAGAGCTCTGCGCTTCCACTGCACGGGGCACGGGTTCGAGCCCTGGTCAGGGAACTAAGATCCCACATGCCACGCAGTGTGGCCAAAAAAAAAAAAAAAACATTTCCAAAGCAATTTCGATGAGCCTCCTTTGCATGACAAGAGACTGAGAAAGAACCCAGAAAGGGGAAGTGACTCAAATGAGGTCACACAGCAGATCAGAGGAGGCCCCAGGCCTGGAACCAAGTAATAGAAACTCCCTCTCCCCCCATCAAGTTATGGGCTGCAATGAGAGAGGGAGCTGCTCTCAATTCAAACTTCTTGGAAGTTACTTAGAATCAGTAACTACACGCCCAAACCCCACAAATCTAAAGGCTAGTTGGCAAAATGGGGGGAAATAGCCAAATCCTAAAACAATCTACCAGAAAAAAATTTTAATGCCGATTCTGAGCACACATTTGCAAGCCTGAGGCCCCTCCTTACCCTCACTGCCATCGTGGTGCTGGGGAATGAGCCTGGTGCCACTCCTCCCCAGCTCCCACCTGAGACCCTCCCCAGCACGTGTCCAGCCCCCCACCGCCCCTCACTCACCAGGTTCTCCTCTTTGTACTTGATGGACCGGGTATGGTGCCGCATGAAGCCCACAGTGAGGATGAGGTAAAGGATAGCGAAGATGGTGTGCAGCCAAAGGAGGTCGTTGCTGCGGGGGAGGGGAGGGACACCACCTGCCCTCAGGGCTGGGCTCCCAGGCAGGGAGTGAGGGTGCAGAGCTGGGCTTGGCTACCCTCATGGCACTGAGCTGAGGGCCAAAGGCTTCATCACAACAGATTCCTCCAACTGAGGTTGAGCGGCCAGTGCCCTTTAGAGAGGGCACTGTCCTGACTAATGAAGACCAGCTCCACGGGGCCCTCTGTGTTTCCTAAAACCCGCTGCAAAACAACGGCGGCCTGGGGCGTGTCCATGCCCATAGCCCAGCAGCGGGCACCAACAGCAAAGAGGCTTTCAGACATTCACTCGCTCACTTTGGACGACCTCTGGCCTATCCCGGGCTCCAGAATCCGCCCTCTCCTTGGTCTCACCCATCAGCACCCTCACGCCCCCCAACTTCGAACTCACTCCGTCTGTAGGTTTGCGATGGTCGTCCTCCCAAAGCTGTAAGGGTCTTTGTCTGCAGAGAAGCACAGATACTCAGTTGCAGGGTCACACTAGGGAAGTGGGAGGGGGGCAGCACAGCCTTGGTCTGTGGAGCTCTGAGAAGCAGCAGCATAAGATGTCCGAGAAGTCAGAGGACTGTATCCGGTCTTTTCAGAGCTACACCAACCAAGGCCTCTGCTTTACTCCAAGATGCTTCTGGCAACTTCTCAACCTACCAGGTGGGTAAAGTCAAAATCTGAATTCATCTTGCTTTGAGAGTCTTGTGGCATTCCTTGAGAAATCTAGAAACACCCTAAGCTGTTCCCAAAACCAAGGCTGGGAATCACTGGGTGTAAGAAGTGGATTCGTGATGGGGACGCTGGATTCCTGTGGGTGCTTGGAAATAGAACGCCACGCTCTGATGTTCACTTTGAGCAACACAGACATCTTCTGGATCCACGACTTGTGGCCTCCTGATTTGGGTGGGGGCAGGAAACTACAAAACACACTCTGAAAGCCCCTGATCGGTCTTGGGGTCTTCCTCCTACTTAGATATTAGGGGCCCCAGCGCTTGGCCCAGGTTTGGGGTGGCTTCTTCTCCAGATCTTTAAGCAGATGGAAAAGTTCAGAAAGTCACCCTGAGACCTTCTCACATCTGAATTTGAGCATGAATCCTGGGGTTCTGATCCACCACAATGAGGCCCTTTCCCCAGGGCTGCTGCTCTGCCTGGGCCCAACTCAGGCAAGATGAGGAGTCCTTACCCAGCAAGCTCCCCGAGAGGTTGACGGGCAGGATGACACACAGAGACAAGAAGCTGATCACCACCAGCAGGAAGATGATGTGTCTCTGGAACGACAGGTAGTGGATGGCGTCCTCCCCACACCACTCCAGGATCTGGTCATCTCTGGCCAAGACACACATGGAATCCTAGTGAGTAGTGGTAACAGGCTGGGATGATCTCATTTAACCCTCATGACCGTCCGTGAGGTAGGTCCCAATTTGATCTCCACTTTTTTAAATATGAGGAAACAGGTACAGAAACAGCACATTAACTTTTACAAACATCCAGCCTGTAACAGCAGAGCTATGACGTGAACTCCAGAGCCTGGAGCTCTCAGCCCTCGCCCCACACTCCTGGACGAAGGAAACTGCCACTGCTCCACTTTAGGTCCCTAGAAACATCTGTGCCCACGTTTGTGTGTAAATACAATTATCCCTCATCCCTTTCCTGCACCCGTGGACAAGCAAAGCCACTGATAAGAGGGCTGCTGAGAATCTCCTTAGCAAAGCTGTGTGTGTCCAGGCTCACGGCTCCCACCCTTCCTCCCGTCTCCTCCTCAGGGAGACTGGGAGACAGAGGTGGAGCCACTGCTTTATTTTACTTATCTTTGAATATTTATCTATTTATTTGGCTGTGCTGGTCTTTGTTGAGGCGTGTGGGATCTTCGTGACCGCGTGCGGACCGTCATTGCGGCACGCGGGATCTCTAGTTGCCGCGTGTGGGATCGTTTAGTTGTGGCACGCGGGATCTAGTTCCCTGACCAGGGATTGAACCCGGGCCCCCTGCATTGGGAGCGCAGAGTTTTAACCACTGGGCCACCAGGGAAGTCCCTGGAGCTACTGCTTTAAACATTGTAAGGCTCAGTCCATCCCGCTGGTCCTGCCTCTTCCCTGTGTCCCTGCTGTGGCCCCAGAGGCGGGGGGCGACCTGCTCCACCCTTTCCCACCCTCAGTGCTGTATTTGGAGTCTCCAGGTCATTTGGGGACCCAGAAGATTCTGGGTTCTGACAGCCAGACTTCCATGCTACAGAGGGAGAAGGGGAGGGGGGTGTCTCCTGTTTTCCTATTCTCCTGACAGGGAGCTACCCTGAGGATCCTGCTTCCAGAAGACAGGGAAAGCCCTGCACTGGGAAGAAAGAGCTCAGGGAAGCAAGGGCCACAGCATAAAAAGGCAGGTGTGAAAGGTGTGGCGCGAGGGCTCTGCAGCCAGCCAGCCAGACCACGGTGGACTCCAGCTCAGCTGCCTCCAGAGAGGGTCACAGCACCCACCTGAGGCTGGGACCTAAAGCAGGGAGGCTACGACCCGCTAGCTAGCTGGTCACTCAGCAGGTGCACAGGAGGCAGTGAGGATCCAGGCCCAACGCCGTGCCTGGTGCCGGGTGGACGCTCGCGGTACGCTTGCTAATATTACCCCTTTTTACTGCTTACCTGGAGGACAAAGTTCTGCCACTGACTACACTGTTTTCACTTCTAAATACACTACCAAAATGCATATACTTTGCCACAATACGTGCTTACTAAACAAACATTGGTGAAGATTAAAACCCATAAGTGGGACTTCCCTGGTGGGCCAGTGGGTAAGACTCCACGTTCCCAATGCAGGGGGCCGGGGTTCGATCCCCGGTCGGGGAACTAGATCCCACGTGCACGCCGCAACTAAAAAGATCCCGCATGCCGCAACTAAGAAATAAATAAGTAAATATTTTTAAAAAATAAAACCAATAAGTGAGTAATTTTCATCAACAACTTTTTCTTGAGATACACCTCGAATTTCCCTATCTTGCTGGGAAAGGCAATCTGGAAGGAAACTGAGAGGCCTCTTTAAATGTCAGTTGTAACGCTGGGCGTGAGCAGCTGTTAAAATTTAATTGCAGGGCTTCGCTGGTGGCGCAGTGGTTGAGAGTCCGCCTGCCGAGGCAGGGGACACGGGTTCGTGCCCCGGTCCGGGAAGATCCCACATGCCGCGGAGCGGCTGGGCCCGTGAGCCATGGCCGCTGAGCCTGCGCGTCCGGAGCCTGTGCCACGCAATGGGAGAGGCCACAACAGTGAGAGGCCCGCGTACCGCGAAATAAAAAAAAAAAAAATTTAATTGCAGCCTTAAAAACAGTCAAAGGGTAGTCCTTTCTGTGGCAGGAACAGAAGAGAAAAAACAGTGGGAGTTGAAATGGAAAAATATGTCTGATGCAGCATTAAAATGACAAAGCAGAATACGCAACTGTACGGGTATGGCCTCACTCAATGAGAAGTGAGGTCCTCGCAGAGAGGGCTGGAAGGGGACATGGAGTGATAGAAACAGTGGGTATGGACTGCGGTGCAAACCGTCAGCAGCCTTTGCTAGTTAACGTGAAGATGATGAGTCAAAGTTTCTGGCTTTGCCCCACTCGATCGAGGCAGAGAGTGGGGGGCACAGCCCAGGGTAGGGGAATGGCCTAAGTCCCAAGCAGCGGTGCCATGGGCAGTGGCTGAGCAGAGGGAAACATGCCGAGGGCATCTTTCAGAGGTAGGGGTAGGGGTGACTTAAAATTTCTTCCTATGAATTCTGTTCTGTACGTGATGGATTTTTGCACAGAACATGCATGACTTCCGACACTTCCGGAGGAAACGCTGACATGATTTTGGAGTGGGCAGGGAAGGGCGAGGCTGGCAAACCTACCTCTCCCACCTCTGTCCCCTCCTCCCTCCCAGAAACCTCCCCTCCTACTCCAGACCAGAGTTCACTGGTTTCTTCTGCACAACATGCCTTCTGCCAGTTCCCCTGGGAACAATTCTCACCAGCCTGGACTCTTCACAACACGCTCACGCGTGTGAATGCATTTGAACTAGACAGAGCAGGTGTTATTCTCAGCCTGCTTTTATAGTTGGGGAAACTGAAGCCCAGAGAGAGGGACATACCCAATGTCCTAGAACTGTCACATTTCATCACTTCTAAGATAGCATTTCCATATTTCAACACCTCTGAAATGGGGGGCACCCTGGGATCATAGCCAATCACAGCACAATAGGAAGCATTTTCTCATTCTCGGTGCTGTGCGTCTTACAACGGCGGTTTCTCAGATAGGATGCAATACGGCCGCAGGCAGCAGAGCTGAGACTCGCAGCTTGGCTCTCCCACCACATGCAAGGGGACTAACTGGCTTATAATCACCAAGCGCCTCTTTCAGGATTTCTCTCCAAGGGGCCCAAGTTTTTTTTTTCTTTTTTCTTTTCTTTTTTTTTCTTTTTTCTTTTTCTTTTTTTTCTTTTTTTGCGGTTCGCGGGCCTCTCACTGTTGTGGCCTCTCCCGTTGCGGAGCACAGGCTCCGGACGCACAGGCTCAGCGGCCACGGCTCAGGAGCCCAGCCGCTCCGCGGCATGTGGGATCTTCCCGGACCGGGGCACGAACCCGTGTCCCCTGCGTCGGCAGGCAAACTCTCAAACACCGCACCACCAGGGAAGCCCAAGGGGCCCAAGTTTTAAGGAAAAAAAGAAAACTTCTAACCACATGAGCTGAATATATTAAGCAATCATTATTTCTCCACTTTTCACTAATTCAAAGACATGACACTGCCTAGAAGAGCTTCCATCCAAATATATCCGTGTTAAATAGTACGTAGATATAATTCCTGCCTAATGCAAAAAATTAGCTTTAATTAGCTTGCACAGGGGCTCCCTGGGCCACCTTTATTCTCAGCCCCCAAGTATAGCTTTGGGTCTGAACTGAAAAGTATCTGAGAGACTCCAGCTCAGGATCAGGCAGCTTGGCTCTCTCCTGCTGACTGGCCGACACCCAAACAAACCCACCCAGACAAAGACACCTCCAGCCACCCGCGCTGTACTCACTGCAGGCGGAAGACCGCAGTCAGCCAGGGGCAGCATCCCTGGAAACGGAGAACAGGGATTAGCTTCCAACAATCTCTGTTTTTCGGAGGCAGACATAATCATCATCTTTGACTTTAAACAACCACCTAACCTCCCGTTTTATAAAAAGCAGTGCTTTTGTCCCAAATTCAGCAAAGCAACCCTCTTGTCCAAACGCGACAGAGTCGGTGTGTTCCCAGTCCTCTGTCACATGCATCCTGTGCCTGGAGATCTTGTGAACGTCTCTCAAGTTTTGACAATTTGTGGAATTATACAGGCTCCTGGGTCAAATGGTGCAACTTGAATGGAGACCTGATGAAAGTTCAAGGCCGCTCTGGAGAAGCTGACGGGGGGCTTCTGTTTGTTTCAAGATAACTGAATGAGATGCAAGACAAAAGCAAGGAACCAAGCCCACTCAACTGGACAGTTCCCTGGGGCGAGGTTTAGAGAGGGAAAGGGTTTCATGGGTTTTAGTGTCCGTCCATCGTATCTCTTCAACTTGATACCACTTCAAGCTGGACTACCAGCTGGGAAAAACAAATATTTGCTCGTCATTCATTTGACAGTCACTTAGCACCTACTGGGTGTCAGGAGGTGGGGAACAGGGCTGGATAAGATTCGGTTCCTGCCCACAGCTGGCTCATAAGCTAGCAAGCAAGTCAATAATTAACTGTCACACAAAGCCGTTAAGTATGATAACACAGACAAGAGCTGTAGCCAGGTGCCTGAGAATTAATCAAAGTCTCGCGATCCTGGATCACGCAGCTGCCACCTTTGCTGTGGTATTTCCCAAGTTCAGGTGTCTTTGTCAAAGCAGAGAAGAGCTCTCACCAGCATGTGCCATTCAAGGTCAAGGGTATAGAGTTAGCGGCTCAGCAGGAGTACAACTGCCCTCTCCCTGCCAATTCTTTACTGCCCATCCTTGCAAGCCCCCATCCCGCAGCCACAACCATACCTGCCCCTTAAATACCAACCAGCTCGCTTTCAAAGTCCTGCTGCCCTGAGGAGGAAGATGACAGTCTCTGGAATCTGGACTCACTAGAAACACAAAAGGGAAAAATGGCAGATAATCCTTTTAAAAGGTCTAAAAACTTATGTCTAGTATCCCGCTGCCTCTTAGAGCTCAGGACCAAAGCTACTAGTGCTCGGTGGCTGGAACAAAACATAACTCACCCTGTGAAAAATATAGGCAAGGGCATCGACCGTTCCAAGGTTTGGTGAGACGTCAAACTCTATGTTACGCGGGATGAATAACAGGGGGTCAGGGTATCAGTGGACCATCCTGTGCTCCACACCCTTGAACCTCAGCCCTGTGACTGGTCTACGTAGAGTGACTTCAAAGTGTTGCCTGTTTACGATATATTTCCCAATATAGCAAATAAAACTTGGAATAAATACTGTATTTTATCAAATCTAAGACACCACTGGTTGTAAAGGGCACAATTATTTTCTGAACCACTAAGGAGTAAAGGATGCTGTCAGTTAACCATGATCACCATCGATAATAAGTTGCACCCAATTTCATAGATGAGAAAATGCCAAACATGAGCATTTTAGACTTGATGAACTGGGGCATTTCACATTGCTAATTCGGGCAGATCCTTTCTTCTGAGTAACCCATAAAAACACCCCGTGCGCTGTGAATTTGAGGTGTTTGCAATATGCTACGTTTTGCTTTTCTCTCTGTTTTCCTACTCCCGGCTTCACCATCCCACTTCTCATGGCATAAGGCCTGGTGAAGCTCAACTTTCAGAGCCTTTCCAGAGAACTGCCTCAATTGACCTTCATGGTAACCCTACGGGCAAGAAGAGGCAAGAGGAAACAACCCAACGAGCTCAGCGTCCTGACCGAGATGACACAGCCATGGAAGTGTGGAGGCCCCTGATTTCCAGGTGCTCTAGTCTCTTGTAGTACTCAGCCCTCCTAGGAGTGAATGTGCCAAAAAGGCACCAGGTGTTTCAAACGTTTCCCCCCAAACAGTCCAAGGCTGGCGCACAGCTGAAGCAGAGGCCCCAGCACCTTACCCCAAGGTTAATACCCTTGGGCTTCCGCAAACACCAGGGTGGAGACTGTGGGGAAAGGAGGTGCATTTACAGACACCCCCATTACCCTTCTGCACAGACCGCGTGTCAACACGGGAACCCCCTGAGGAGCAAGGGTGGGGGTCTGCCTGCGGAGCCCCCGGGGAGGCTTGGGCGGGACAGCCCGGACCAGTCTGTTTCCCCAATCGCTTCCTATTGCTGCATTTGGCACAAGATCCTGGGGTGAGGGACAGCTGGTTGGAGCTGGAAATTCCAGTTGTGCAGACCTGGAACTCATTCTCCCCCTTCAGGTGACATGCGTAGAGAGCCCAGGGTGGAGGTGGAAGGACGTGAGTCCTGGCCAAGGCAGTCTGTGCTGTGTGACAGAGCGTCCGAAGCGGGCGGATTAGGGCCACTGGCTGACCCTGACCCAGAGGAGAGGAGCAACTCACCTACGGCCCTGCTGCCCTTCTCAATCCAGCTCGCCTCATCCCCAGCCCCGAACTAATTAATCTCAAAGAAGATACACTTGAAAATGTCCAAGGCGAGAAAGCAAGCTGGCGTCCTCCTCAGCTGATGATGAAAGCCTTAAGTATCTAAGGCAACTAGATTTCTTCCGTAGCCCGAAGCAGCTGGCTCACAGTGGGCCAGCTCCAAGCCCCGGGGGAAAGCTGGGTGTGTGGGCAATGGTTTTCTTACCGCCACCAAGAAGGTACCAAGGCTAATCTCACAGGTCTGTGGTGAAGAGCAGAGAGAACAGTTTCTGCTACAGGCCTGGCAGACACACTAATGAACACAATCTAATACGAGCATCATGTGTGGGCTGTGCCTGGTGGGCCTCACAAGCCCCCAGCCCCATCCCAGCCTCTGTCTCTGTCTCTGTCTCTCTCTCTCTCTCTCACACACACACACAGACGCTTGACATAATGAGTCTTTTTTACCTGTTTGCTTCTGACACCAGGGCAATGCGGCCATAATCCCAGAAGTTTCTTCTTATGATGGAAAATACCAATACTAAAAACTAAAAGTAGAAAAGAAATCAGGTCTTGTAAAAGCATATTGGATGGCTTCTAATTAGGGGCAATTGTCTTAGGGGCAAAGCCCACCCCTCCCCCAACACCCCCCCGCCCCCCCGCCCCGCCGGACTCAGGAGGGCTAAAAGGGCCAGAGAAGGCACGGAGCTGCCCAAGGCCACACAGCTCAAGGGCTCAATGCTGTGCTCACCCCCTTCACCAGCTCCTGTCCCCTGTGCCCAAGCCACAGAGGCTGTCAACACTGACACGGAGCTTGCCCCAGCAGCCCCCTAGTCAAGCACTCAGGTCCTGCTCTTTTAGTCTCAAGGCAGCCCTGACAGCCACGGCCTTCCTCAGCCCTGGTGTGCCTGCAGGGTCTCCTGAGCAGGATGGCCCTCACAGCAGCCCTGGGGACCAGCTCCCTCCTTCACTTTACATAGAGCTGCATTTTTCATTACAGAACAGAGGTAGCAGAGCTCCTGGAAGCTGAGCCAGAAGTGGTCAGATCTTTATCTTGAGTTTGGTTCTCCTGGAGGCAAGCCCTGGGGACGCCTGGCGCAGAGCACGCTGGGCCCTCGGCAGGCCTGTGCGCCCAACAGCAACGCCAGGCGCTGGACTCAATTCTAACCCCCTTTCCGCTCTAAGTCTGTCGATTCTAGACTGTCTCCTCGCTCCCTCCGTGTCCACCTTTGCAGGTCCTCTGTCTTGCTCCTGCCTGTCTCCCCTCCCTGGACAGGCTCCCTCCCTTCAGGGCTCAGCGTTTTAATCAGTATATCCCTGCCTGCCCTAGTCAGGAACTGTGGTTTTAAATGTGGGTTTTGCGTAAAATAGCTAGTGGGAAGCAGCCGCATAGCACAGGGAGATCAGCTCGGTGGTTTGTGACCACCTAGAGGGGTGGGATAGGGAGGGTGGGAGGGAGGGAGACGCAAGAGGGAGGAGATATGGGAACATATGTATATGTATAACTGATTCACTTTGTTATACAGCAGAAACTAACACACTATTGTAAAGCTATTATACTCCAATAAAAATGTTAAAAAAATTAATGAATGAATTGGCTAAATGGAATTTATAATAAAGAACATTGTATATTTAAAAAAAAAGAAAGAAAGCAAGCAAGCAAGAAAGAAAGAAAAAGAAAGAAAGGTTGTTGAAGTTAATGAGCACCCAAAGCTGTAGTGAATCAGGGTCTCCTACGCTGAGTTGCACATGCAGAAAGGAAACATGGAAACTGGCATTTTCTCCGTCCTATTTGTCCGTGTTGGACATTCCCTTTATTCACGTCATGATACGCTTTCTGGTATTCCTTCATGCTTAAGCACAAATAAAATTGCTCTGTTTCTCAAGATAAAAAAAAAAAAAAAAAAAATGTGGGTTTTGGACCCCAGAGGGGCTGAGTTCCAGCAGAATTTTCTCAAGGTGAATCTGGAAGTTGCTGATATATTTTCAAAGGCAGGTGAGTCCTGCTGTCGGATAAACATGAAGGCGGCTTGTAAGTGCCTGCCCTCTGCCCTGGCTGCTGCTCCCTTGGCTCGAGCGGTGTGGACATTTCCCACGCATCTCTCTCCTCCAGGCCCCTCTGGCTCTTTGGTGGGTCCCTTCCTCCACCCCACCCCCAATCCCCGTAACTTCCTGCAATACAAATCCACCCCCACCAGCACACTCCACCGGAGAGCTACTCTCTCTTCTCAACCAAGACATACCCACCCCAGCCTGCCTCTCCGGACTTCTCTCCTTGGCCCAGACCCTCCCCTCCCTGGAGACGCTGGATGGATCACAGCTCTAGGGCCACCCTCCTCCATGAATCCCACCAACCTTCAAATCCGTCACCACTCTCCTGCCTACTCCCTCCTCCCAACCAAGGCTGGTAGATATGACTGTTCTCAACCTACAAATGGGTTTTGGCTCCAAGACGTGGGTTATTCGGCACTTAAAGAGCCCTTTTTCGTAAAAGCAACATGAGTAGCACACGGGTTCCCACATCTGCCCTTAGAGGACCAACAAATGTAGCAAAAGTCTAAGGCAACAATTTAGACTTTAATCCTAGGGAGGAAAATGCAAAGAGGAGTTAGGACTCCCTTTCCCTCTTCCTATGAACATTTTTCCCCCCAAGCAAACTTGGGTTGGATACCCGCCTCCTTCAGGGACGGGGGCCCTCGGGCTACCCTAAACCCCCTCCCCCAGGCCCCCACCTAACCTCTGGCCCAAAGCAGTCCAAGGGGTCTACTCCCTCCATCCCCTCTTACCCTGTTCAATCAGATGGCCTCCACCACATGGGAGGAGAAGGTGACAAGAGGGACCAACCATCCCATGGGCACTTGTCAAAAGAAGGTGCCCCTGAGCCCCAGTAAATCTCACCTAGCATGTCTGAGCCAGTCTAGGGGAGAATACGGCATATTTCAGATTGGGTTGGGGGGGCGGTCTTTGGGAACAAGGAGGTCTGAACTAAAGAAAGGCCACCTATGAGGGTCGGCACTGAGCTCGCCTTTCCCCGGTTTTCTCCTTTTCTCGTCTGATCCTCTAAAGGCCCAGGGACCCCAGTGGGGAACAGGGGGGTGACATTTATAAATTGGGAATTGCAGCTGCTCTAATGCCCATTCACATCTCTCATCCCTGTGGACTGACCCTTCCCAGGGGCCTTAGACACGTGACGGGCTGATAACTCGGTAACAATGGTAATAATCAAAAGAATCGTAATGTGTATTCTTTACATATATTGCCTTATTTAATCTTGTCCCAGAATCTTCGAGGTAAAAATTATTACCTCCATTTCCAGAGCAAAAACCTGAGGCCTAAACAAGCTATGTCACACGCCCAAGGTTACAGAGCTGCGAAGTAGCGGAGCTAGGACTTCAACCCAGGGATGTCTGCTGGCTCCTCACCTGAGTTTCCCTGAAAGCCCTGGGGTGGCGGGGAGTTGGGGGATGGAGGTTAAACAAACAAATAACTGACACGATTCCCAAGGAGTCTCACCAGGAAGCAGCTGACGTCTATGAACAGGACAGTGGGGATGCCACCGAAGGTGACCCCCTGGAGCACGGTGCTGTTTTTGGCCGAGTTGTAGCAGTAGGAGTCGTTGGGCTGGTCCCCGATGCCCAGCCGCTGGCGGATGGCCACCGCCCTGGATTGCCACAGCTCCAGGAATGGGGAGTCAGTCATCGTGCTGGTCCTCCCTGGAGAATGGGACCCGGCGGAGGGTCAGGGCTCCAACTCTCCCGTGGTTTCCCCAGCCAGCGCTGGCAGAGCCAAGGGCGGGTGTCTCCTCCAGGGGCTGGTGGGGCACAGGGATCGGGGAGAGGCAGACACTGGCCCCGAGCGCCCGGCAGAGCCCACAGAGAATAGCTCCATTGTGGGAACAGCCCGGAGGGTCAGATGGACCGGGCGGATGGCTCACCCAGGACACAGCTGGCCGCCTCCCCAGCGGGGGTGAACAGGAGGACAGGGGAGGACAGGAGCTGCTGTGGTGCCTGCCTAAGGGGTGCCAAGTTCCTCCAGCCTCAGGGACGACTGCCGGGAAGTCATTCCTACAGCGGGACCCTGGGAGGTCCGGAGGGCAGGCAGGGGAGACCAGGCAGGGCACAGGAATCAACAGAGGAGGAGGAAGAGTGTCCAAGTGCAACAACTCTTTTTTTTTTTTTTTTGCGGTACGCGGGCCTCTCACTGTTGTGGCCTCTCCCGTTGCGGAGCACCTGCTCCGGACGCGCAGGCTCAGCGGCCATGGCTCACGGGCCCAGCCGCTCCGCGGCATGTGGGATCCTCCCGGACTGGGGCACGAACCCGTGTCCCCTGCAACGGCAGGCGGACTCTCAACCTCTGCGCCACCAGGGAAGCCCAACAACTCTTGATCATCTGAGCCACAGACAAGAGTTCATAGGATGTCAGGCCGGGGCCTCAGAGACAGGCCCACTCCATACACTTGGAAACCGAGGCTCAGAGATTAAGATTAAGGAGCTGGTCGGGGCAGAACTGGGTCTCAGACCCAGCCTCCTGGGTCCCAGATGCCAGCTCTCTTTCCACTACGCCACACTCCCTCTGCAGCCGGCTACACACATGGGTTAGTTTAGTGAGAGATTAAAAGCCAGGAGAGGGGTAGCGGAGAGGAGACAGAAAAGGCAAAAGGGGGTGGTCTAGGGTGAGGAGGATGGGGTCCCAGGCCTCCTCAGGGACCCCTGAGTCGCCCACCGTGCACCGCTGGAGCACTCCCCAGGCTCTGCCCTCTCATTCCTACACCCCTAGCCTTACTGGAAGGTCCAGCATTTCCAAAGCAAATATCGCTCCAGGCTGGTTGTTGACTTTTCCTTCGAGGCTCCTGGTAACCCAGGTGAAACTAATGGAAATCTCCAAACACCAAAGGCCCCAGAGTTAGTAGCCAAGTTCTGGCCTGCTTTTCACACTGTCTGTGGCTGAAGAGCCTGGAGAAATGCTCAGCAACACCTTCCTCTCAAGGTCCCACCTCCTTAAATCTGGTTAACCTAGATTCCCAGGGGACTTCGGCTAAGTCTGGTCTCTCTACCTGTTAGAGGGACAAAAATCTTGGGGACAAGAAGAGGAGGTACAGAGAACAGACAGATATTTGGACTACCCGGTAATACTGGCAGGATGTGTGTTGGGGGAAGGTGATTCCCAATTCTGGCCCCTGGGACGGCTGGGTTGGGAACAGTCTCACACACACACACACACACACACACACACACACACACACACACACGACAGGAAGTGCAGGGTGGGTGGGGGGAGGTGGCAGGTCAAGGGCATGGGAGGACTCCTCAGAAGGCCAAGTCACTCTCTCATCCCTCTAAGAGACTGGGCAATGGCCGGAGGATGTGAGGGCAGAGCCACAAAAGCTGCCTCGGGCAGACAGATGGTCTTAGCTTCCCTCCTTTAAACCCCACCCCCTGGCACCACCCCAGCAGAACGCCCAGCCTGACACTGATTGGCAAAGGCCTGCCCCTCCTTCCTGTCCCCCGCACTTACCAGATGCCAGGGGAAGGAAGTGTGGATGAACGCCTTGGAGAGGACCTCAGTTGATGCAGGCTCTAGCAAAGGCAGTGGCAGCCCTGGCCACCCTCCCAAGCTGCCTCAGGTCCGCCACTCATTTCCTGCAGGGCTTTCCTGACTGGGGTCATGGGCCACCAGCCTTTACAGACTTCCCTGAAGGAACACAGACCGTCAGAGGCACGTGGGAGCTGCCCTCTTCCAGTTCAGGGCTTCTGGTCTGAAACCCTGCAGCACACTTCCCCTGCACTCACACGTGCCCCAACGTGTCGGAACTCAAACGCTCGTGCGGAGCCTGTGGTTCTTTCCAATGCGCTCCCTCCTGCCCTGGCTCTCTCCCCAGACTCCTAGCACTACGGAGGGTCCACGCTCCTCTGTGCTGCCCTGTTCCTCTCTCCTCTCTTCTCCAGCATCACCTGAGGGTCCAGCCTGCCCCCTCTTGTCCAACGGCTCAAGGCCCTACTGAAGCCAGGGCAGTGGACCTCCCCCCACAGAAGTACTGGCAGCTGTAGGCTCCAGGAAGACTGAGTCCAGGACCTCATACAGGCCCCAAGAGGCTTCCCCAGGGCCCCCAAAGGCTAGAATCAGGAAAAAGGAATGCAGCAGAACAAACAAGGAAGACTTGAAAAGTGAAGTGGAAAGAAAAAAACCACCCCCATAAAATGGTCACAGAGGGAGCATTGTCCCTGGAAAGGGGCAGCTACTGCAGTGGTGCTGGGGCAGGATGAGCCTCACCAATGCTGCTTTGTGTTGAGCTTTGGGAGAGCAGAGGCCCCGCGGGAAGCAGGTACCTAGGCTCCTCTCCCCGCTTCAGCCCCAGTCACGCCTCTAAGTCAAACAGGCTCCCCTGGGTGGTTTGACAAGGTTTGATAAGAAGGACTCAGTGAGGTCAGCCATCAGGTCCCAGCAGCCTGGGATGGACCCTCAGGACTCCCCAGAGGTGGCCTGTCTTGCCTTCCCCCTCCAGGTGAGGGCACGGCTTTGGGGGCCCGCATTCTCTCTCAGAACTTCCTGCTTCGTCGTAGTCTGTTACCCATGGAAAGTCCAGATTCTGCTGAACCATGACGGTCCCTCCAGGGCCAGCCCCCTGCATCCTCCCAAACGGGCACGCTCTGAGCGGGCAGCTGGAAACACACGCACCACAGGGCGGCCCCGCCAGGCTCAGAAGGAACGGGACGAGGAGAGAAGGGAACTCAGCTGGTGGTGACCGGGAGAGAGCTAGCTCAGTGGGCAAAAGACTGGTAGTGCTGGGCAGGGGCCAAACCACCAATTAGGCCCTGTGGCCAAAGGCGCCCTGCCTGGCAATGTTCACTCATCCCATATTTGTCAGATACGCATGTGTGAATGCCTAGTCTTGTCCATGCCTTTCAGAGAGCTCTCTGCTCATCACCTCATTCAGGAAAGGCAAGATATACTGCTGAGGCCCAGGCGCCAGGTGAGCAGCAGGTGACTCAGGCCCCAACGCAAAGTTCAGCCCACATACACCGTACAGTCTGGTTGTGGCCAGTGAGACTGAGAGCTCAATGCCATGGCTGGTCCCGAAATTGCCAAAGAAGTCAGCCGCCAATGCTAAGCCCCTGCCCACCTGAGCTGGTAGCTGCTGGCCCCTGTAGCACACCTGAAGATCTCTACGCCGCCCCTGCCAGGAGTGGTAACGCAACGCTGCAGGAAGCGTGCGAGCATCGTCAGCTCTTGCAAATTCAGGGTATTTTTATCATCACCAAATTTTCCGACCTTGTTAGGATGACAAGCAGCTCCAGGCCTTCTGCTACAGGAGGTGACTCTGATGTTCTAGATGGCAGGTTGCAAACCTCTCCTTAAAGCCCCACCAAACAGGGCCCAGGAACCTGGACAACCATTTACCTCCACAGACACAAGCCCTGGAGCGCCAAGGAAACGGCACAGGGTCTGGCTGCAGGGGGAGGCGGGGGCAGCCGGCAGTCACCGGAGCAGGCTCTGGAGTTAGGGTCTCAGCACCACGTGCCTTTAGACAAGTGGCTTAAGCGCTCTGCGATCTGGCTTCCTTCTCCATAAAACGGGCACAATGACGTCTCTCCTGCAGGGCTGGTGAGAGGCAACGTCCATAAGGCACTGAGCCTTCGTGGGCGCTCAAAACCTCCTCTCATTTTGTCACCTCTCCAGACAGTGGGAAAGACAACATGAGGGATAGCAGGACCCCATCTGATATTTTTCCTGTTACAGCCCAGTGAACAGCCAAGGGAGACCTTTGCCCCCAAACTAAACAAACAAGAGGTGAATGAAGGCAAAAGGAGGCCTCTGCTTCTGTACACATCCACCTCAATGCAGAAGCAGACTCAGGACTACCTGACAGCTGTCAGAGGAGGGGAGAAGGTAGAAAGACAATGGGCGTGCAGAAGGGAGAAGGGAAATATGGGTCGTTTCTCCAATAAGCAACGACCTGGAGTCTTTCCTTCTTGCCAACGACTGTCCACAGCCCTGCAGGAGCCAGGGCCTGAGAAAGACCCCAGGATGCCGCCTTGTATGCACTGGGCCTGGAGTGGTGAGCACAGTCCACTGGCTTAACCTCAAACCCTGCACGCTGTGGGGCTGGGACACAGCCACACAACTTCAGCGTGGAAGGAAGCTGGCGGGTCATTCTGTGTACCGCTGTGGCCTGCTGCCCTTCAGGACACCGCCTGAGCTGAAAGACAGAGGCCACGCCAGAGTCTCAGGTGGCCGGGCTTATCAGGTACTGGCACCTCTGCGTTTTGGGTTTCCTGGCAGAGCTCTCCTCGCCCTCCCCACCCCTCCCCAAACCCCCAGCTTCCCTCCTCGGGACTCCACCAGGGCTGCAGGGAGCGGTCACCGGGGAGCAGCCCCAAGGTGCTTTCTACCTTCCCAGCAGCAGGTGACTCAGATGCCTGGCCCCTTCCCAGGCCCACCTCGCAGAGTCGGAGAAGGAAGGGCCCCCAGCCTGCGCTCCGGGTTAGGCTGGGAGGTCGACACCAGCTGAGAAAACCCCAAAGAGAGGGGTGGGAAGAGAAAGGGATCAGCCATAAAAGCGAAAAGTTGGAGCCTTGGAGGGGGAAATCCCGAAAAGTCATTAGGAAAGTGGAGAGGCGCGGCGCTGGAGGAGGGGCGCGGGGTCTGCGGGGCCCAGGAACGGACCTTCTCCTCCCACCCACCCGGTCACCCCCTGCTCCGGAGTCGGGGCTGCGGAGGCCGGAGGGCCGCACCCCGGAACCGGACACTAGACATGGCACCCTGACGTAGACCCCAGGTCCTGCACGTCCCGGGAAAGGCGGAGGGCAACATTCCCCCCTCCCAACGCTTCTTCCCCTTTACCTGCGGCGGCGGCGCTGCGGCCCGGCGCGGCCCGGGGAGGTTGTCTGGCTCCACCTGGCCGGGCGGGGCGGCGTCCAGACTACTTACAAGTTACAAAGTGAAACTCCGGCACTCGTGCACATGCGCAGACCCATGCCCACTGCTTGCTCAATTTGCAGCTTCGGCGGGACAGGCGTCTGCGCTGCCGCCGGCTCCCGCGCCCCGGACCGTGCGCCCCTCGGCGATCCTCCGCCCTGGCTTGGCCCCGGGGCGGCTGCTCAGCCCGCGCAGCTCCTCCTAATGTTCTGCAGACCCCGGCCGGGCCGGCTCGCATCCTGGGACCGAGGAGGGCGCCGCCACGGCTAATTCCTCTCCCCAGTCCCCGGCGCGTCCCCCTTGCCCCGGCACCTCGGGGAACCCCGGGCCTAGCACAGGGGGAGGCGCAGGGAGAGCATCAGCAAATGTTCTTGGTTGTCCTGTATTGCACTGAATTTCCGCGACCGGCTCCTCGGCCCGCCAGGGGGAGTGGGAGGATGGGAAGCTCGGCTGGGCTCAGCCCGCACCTCGGCTCCACGCAGTCCGCGGTCACCCGGCTCCCAGTGTGAAAGGCCGCGGCTCCCCCACCGTTCTGGGCAGCCGGACGGGGAACGCCCTGTGGAGGGTGGGTGGGTGCGTCCTACGTTTGGCCCCAAACGGAGGTCGCAGTATTTTCAGCGGTCCCCTGGAGCCAAAGCGGGTACTGGCAGGACCAGGCCGCCGGGTGCCACCCATCTAGCCCAGCTGTTTCCTATGAGCCAGCGGCCTCCGCAACTGGACTGTAAGCTCCCCGGGGGCGCCGGGGTGTGCGCTGGGCCACACGCAGGACGGGGTTCAGTGAGGACTCCGCACCCTGTGAAACCGAAGACCACCGCCTGCCTGCGGCACCAAACTGCCCTCTTCTGCAGGCCTCGGTTTCCTCGTCTGCAACACGAGGGGTGGGACCGAAGCTTCCCCTCAGGTTCTTCCGGCACTAGAAATCAGTAAATCCTGAACAGGCCTTCACTCCGCACGCACGTGTGCGGCTTTGCAGGGCCTCTGACCTGTCTTCCATTTCTGGGCCTTCCTCTTTCCTGGAAATGGTCAAAGTGTTCTCCTTCCCTCCCTGCCCACACCTCCAGCACCAGCCTGGGGCTCTCTGGAGTGGGGTGGGGTAGGGGATGTCTCCTGCTTCTCTAACAGCTCCTTTTGTCCCATCTGGCTTCCTCCCTCTCCTCCACCCCCAGCCGCTAGTTATTTCCCACAGTTTGCCCTTGGCCCCTGCGCTCAGCTCAGCCCAGCCCTTGTCCTTCTGCGCAGGTACCTGATCATCTCTCCTGCTCTCACCTCCGGCTGCCAAGGGCCTATGCCTGACCTCCAGCAGGTTCCTGGGTATGGCCGCCGGACTTGCCCCTGGCTTCTCAGACTGCCTCTGTCCACTCTCTGCCCCCCCGTACGCCCCACCTGCGTGTCCCTATTCCGTCCCTGGGAGCCTGGGAGCTGCCAAGGGAGCCCCCCTTGCCTGGTCTGTGCCCTGGGGCCCAGGGAAGTGCAAAGTTCTAACCCCTAACCTGGTGGAGCCACTGACAAAGAGAAAAGTTAGGATCCTTGATTTCAGAGAGGGAAGGGATTTCTAAATTTGACTTTCCGTTGTTTATTTCAAAATCAAGAGAAGGCCGAGATAGATCAGAATGTGAGTTGAGATAACCATAGCCCCCATTACGTGTCAGGCAGTATGTAGAGTGCTTATAAAAATACTATTTCTGGGACTTCCCTGGCGGCGCAGTGGTTAAGACTCTGTGCTCCCAATGTAGGAGGCCCAGGTTTGATCCCTGGTCAGGGAACTAGATCCCACAAGCATGCCACAACGAAGGAGCCCACCTGCTGCAACTAAGACCTGGCACAACCAAATAAATATTAAAAAAACAAACAAAACAAAACACTATTTCCTTAAATCTCCAGTAAAAGTACAGGAGTCAGGGACTGTCTCTATCTGATAGACAAGAAAATGAAAATTTAGAGGATATAGAATTTATAGCTAATGAGAGCTGTGCAGCCTGGCTGGCAAGGAATCCAAGACATCCACGCCCCAGGCCCAGATCCTACATCAAACTCAGTTTAAAAGCCAGTGTAATCTTGGCATTCAAAAATCTTATATTCACCATTTTAATCATTTGCTCCCTTTATCTGCCCCCAAATCTAAAGGAGTGACCCACATTCTTGTAATATTGATGATGATTTTGATCACAGATTTTTAAAAATTTTGTATCAAGTAGAATTGAAATAAAGCCCACTCCCTGTGCCCAGAAAAGTAAAAATGTCAACAACAATGACCAAAATAAATTCTGCCTTAATCCTAAGAGGACAGGCACCTTAGAATCAATGCGTTTTGATCCTAGTACCCTGTATCGCTTAACTGAGACCTCGAACAAGTCTTTTTAAGCTTTTCCCTTAGTTTTCTAATCTGGTTGACCTAATCCCTATAGAACTTTCTGTTCCCTCACAATTTGCAGGATTCTGGGTAAAACACAGCAATACCGAATAAAATCTGTTTTATTTGTTTCTTGCAGAATACTCTTCTTATCTGAGTTGGGAATGCACAACCCATACTTGACCCTAGGTTTTAAGCCCAGAGTGGCAGCTGCATCTCCCACCCATACCACAGAGCTCAGCCCAGGACAAGGAAACAATGAATGACAAATTGTGGTTTCTCCTCTTAGGTTACAAAATCTACACAGATAAGTGCTTAGGATACAGTGCAGTGAATAATGTCAAGAAAAGGTAGACTGGGCAGGGGTTACCCAGTGGCCAGGGAGACTTGTTCCTGGGAAAGAAAAATCAGAAGGTGAGCTGGCTGGTCAGAAGAACTCAGGAGAGAGCACAGAACATGTGCCATCCACGGTTCAGTAACCCCCATCTCTCCCGGTACCTGGAACACTTCTGACACACACACAAGCCAAGTCCCTCCATGGCTGCACCCCACACCTACGGCTCCAGCTTCCTCGGTACAGGCGCCCCATCCGAGGCACAGCTGCACTTCTGCACCCTCATGTTGGGCAAGCTGACCACCTGGGGCCTGGGCTTGCCTCCCTCCGGGATGCTGACAATCATGGGCAGCGAGGTCGTCTCTGAGGCGATGCACTGTCTCGGCCCCAGAAATGGCCACTTGAAGGTCAGGGGCTCTGGGGGCTGCTGGCAGGTGCCCACACACTCATAGGCCAGGAAGCCTGGGGGCTCCAGGACCCAGTTCTCAGCCCACTTCATCCCCTGCAGGTCAATGTACACCTCCCGGCGGCAGCAGCGGGTGCCCTCGGTCGCTGGTGCCTTAGGATCACAGTTTCCCTGAGCTCTGTGGAGGGCAAGGAGAGGCAGAGTCAGAGGTCAGCTGGGAGGGCAGAGGTCAGCTGGGAGGGCAGAGGTCAGGGAGCCCAGGGCGGGGCTTCGTGGGGCATCTGGAGGGAGATTTATGGTCCATCTCTTGTTATGTTCAAAATGCTGGCTATTTGTGTAAGGATGGATAACTAGAAATAACCCCCAAATAAATAATTCGATCTGATATTACTCCTAAGACTGTTAGGAGAAATTTTATATATTCATCCATTCCCATAGCACCCTGTAAAGTTGCCCATTTCAAAATAAGTTTAATTCCGCCATTTGCCTCATTATTCGGGTTCACCCATCTGACCCACAGCACCTACCCGTAATCCTTGAGGTCCAGGGTGTGCAGCTCCAGCTGGGGCTCCCGCTGCCCGGCGCCCGACGGCCCCTGCGAGGCGAAGCGGACCAGCGTGTGGGCGCTGGAGGCCAGCGGGCCCAGGTGCTCCCGCTGCACCGACACCTGCAGCAGCAGCGGCTGCCGGGGCCGGCGCAGCTGCTGCCAGAAGTTCACGGCATCCGTCACGTCCCAGGCCTTCCAGCCGCTCTCGTGGATGGACACCAGCCTGCGACACCACACGGAGACACGGGCCCGCGCTGAGGGGTGGGGACTGGGACGGCTGGGGTGGCCCCGGGGGGGGGGGCCTCTCCCTCCCCCTCCCCTCTCCTCCCCCTCCCCTCCCCGCGCAAGGGGCCCGGCCAGCCCGGACTGCGCTGCGCCTTCTCCCCCAGGGCACCCCTCCTCCCGCGCCGGGCCCAGCCCCCCTCCTCATCCCCCGCCCCACACCCCAGCCGCCACCTCCCCACCTGGAGTCGATGAGGGAGGTGCGGTTGGAACCGTCATCGCGGACGTGCAGCCACTGGACGGTGACTCGGGCGCGGTCGCTGCGCGGGAAGAGCCGCTCATGGCTGCGGAGCGCGGCCTTGGGAACCGGCTCCTGGAAGAGGCGCAGCACGGCCTGCACCAGCTCGCTGTGGGGCGGCAGCCGCTGCTCCATGTCGAACACCAGCAGGTGCGAGGAGACCTCGGACACCAGGAACCTGCCGGCCACCTCTGGGGACACGAGCGGGGTCAGCGGGGCTCCTCCGGGCACCAGGGGAGCTCTGAGGGTGGCAGGGCCCCCAGGTCCAGTGAACAGGGTTTCCCCAGTAATCCCTAGGGAGAGTTTGGGGGCTGGGAAACTGATGGGCCAGGCCAGAAAGAGAGCACCTCCACTCCTAGAAAAACTGTTAGGGCCAAGCAGGCTCTCCCCCATCATCTGAGGCTGGGGCTTGTTTACTAGTGGCGTCTGCCCTCACCTGGTAGGGGCAGCTTTGAGACCCCTGCAAAGACTGGTGCTTCCAGTGAGGACTACAAACCCACAGCCTTCTTTAGGCAAAGGGGCAGGAGGGGGAATGGAGCGCGGGAGGCAGAAGACCCAGCTGGTGAAAATCTATGGTCACTGGCTGAGACTGGCTTTTCCTAGGAGCCAGAGGAAGAGCCCAGAATTTACTCTCATTTTCCTGCTTATGCCCAGTGAAATGTCCCCCAAAGGAGGAAGAGTGGCCAGGGGCCTGTAAACAACTTTTGTGGGACTGCTGAGCCCTGAGGGAAATGGTGAGGATGGGTACGACAGCCTCCTCA